TAATAATGGCAATATTGATAGGCAGTAATTAAAGCAGACTACTAGGTCCCAGAGTAGATTTCGAAAATCAGGACCCTTGGGGTCCTTGCTGTAAGTCCCGCATTCTAGTGACCAAGCGCCTAAGGTTTAGGGTTTAGGGTTTAGGGTTTAGGGTTTAGGGTTTAGGGTTTAGGGTTTAGGGTTTAGGGTTTAGGGTTTAGGGTTTAGGGTTTAGGGTTTAGGGTTTAGGGTTTAGGGGGTTTAGGGGGTTTAGGGTTTTAGGGTTTTAGGGTTTTAGGGTTCAGGGTTTAGTTAGGGCTTCGGGCCTCAAACCAAGACATCCTCTAAGATCGAACGTTGAGGGGAGGCAGCTTGCAGTCGCAAAGCATGCACGGGGGTACCATGGTGGCTTCCTCCCAAAACCTCAGGCCAGGGCTGTAGGGCTTAAAGTTTAAGAGTGCTGGGTTGACGTTACGCCGGTACACCCCAATTGGACCCTGAACCCTTAGGAAAAACAAAAAAAAAGCCTGAAGACCCTAAGAAACTCGAAGCCCCCAAAACCTCAAACCAAGAATAACTGCAGAGATCGCGTTGAGGCCCTTAAAAGCCCTGACAACAACCCACGCCCCAAAAAAACTGTTTTGCACAAATGCAGGGGTTGGTTGGGAACAGCCCGGTCTCCACACTCGTCCAAAAGCCCTATTGAAAGTTGAGGGCCATCTGGGGTTCAGGGTTTAGGGTTTTAGGGTTTTAGGGTTTTAGGGTGTTAGGGTTTTAGGGTTTTAGGGTTTTAGGGTTTTAGGGTTTTAGGGTTTCAGGGTTTTCGGGTTTTCGGGTTTTCGGGTTTTCGGGTTTTCGGGTTTTCGGGTTTTCGGGTTTTCGGGTTTTCGGATTTTCGGGTTTTCGGTTTTTCGGGTTTTCGGGCTTACCATCGGAGGTCTTTGAGAACGCTGGCTGCTAGGCAAACAGCAACTACCCCAGAACCTCAGGCAGAGCAAGCCTCGGATGCTCCGAAAGCTTCTAAGGTTCACAGTCTACTGACAAGGCCGAGGCTTCAGGCTTTAGGGTTCATAAGGCTGTTTAAGGCTGTGTTGTACTATAAAAGGTTTGGAATGGTTCACTAAGGGTACCTTCTGGGGGTCCTTCCTGTAAGTCCCTTCAATAAGCCCGAATGAAAGTTTAAATATAACCTTAAAGCACTGAGGTAAGAACCTCAAATTTTAAAACTTTCAACCCCCCGAAGCAAAGAAACCGAGCCCGCAAAGCGGCACAAGCCCTGGGCAAGAGGCTGAAAAGCCCCTAAACCCCTTAGCCCAGAAACCTAAGCACCGAGCCCTGAGGCCTGAACCTTAAACCCTAAACCCTAAACCCTAAACCCTAAACCCTAAACCCTAAACCCTAAACCCTAAACCCTAAACCCTAAACCCTAAACCCTAAACCCTAAACCCACCCTCAGCACAAGAAGGCCCTCCGTGGCACCCGACTCGGGGACGCCGCAAACCTCGGCCAAGAGATTCTTCTTGAAAACTGATGTCGGGCTTCAGAGGGTTTAGGGTTTAGGGCTTAGGGTTTAGGGTTTAGGGTCTAGGATCTAGGGTCTAGGGTCTAGTCTAGGGTCTAGGGTTTAGGGTTCACAGCCTTGTGAGCTTTGGGTCTTTTAGGGTGTTTGGGCTTTAGGAGCCTGATCAGAGCTTAAAAGGTTTGAGGGTTTAGGATTCAAGGCCTGATTGGGGCTGAGGCATGAAGGTTTGGGTGCGGGAGGGGGTAGGGGAGGTAGGGGGCGGGGGGGTAGGGGGGCAGGGCAAGAAAATTGTTAAAATCGCTGATTTTCCTGCGCACGAGGTAGTGCTGCGAACGGCTCCAGGTGGGCAACTCACTGACTGCTGTGCTGCTACACGGTCTGTCGGCGGATGCGCAGAAATGGGGTCCGCGCTGTCCCATCAGAGCGGAGGCCATTTCTGCGCATCCGCCGACAGACCGTGTAGCAGCACAGCAGTGAGAAGAACCTGGAAGGCTTCCTTGTTCGCAGGAAATTCCACTTCCCATCTTCGCCACTCGGTCTTGTGCGGATTTCCCCTTCCCGAGGTCTCGGCTCTGGCCAAGCAGCAACCTTCTTTCGAGCTGCTCCAAGGGCTCCTCAGTGACAGGGTTTAGAGTTTAGGGTTTAGGGTTTAGGGTTTAGGGTTTAGGGTTTAGGGTTTAGGGTTTAGGGTTTAGGGTTTGGGGTTCTGCTCTGGCCAGAGCGCGGTGCGAGCTCCTCAACAAGGAGGAAGCTATGGCTCCTGCCCAAGCACCAAGCATGGAGCTTGCCCAAAACAAGGCGACGGACTCGTGCTGCAAGGACTCCAAAACGCCTTAATTAAGGAATTTACCTTAAATCATATTAGGGTTCCTATTACAAATTAAGGGATATTCCTTACTTAAGGGGTTTTGGAGTCTCTGGGAATCTTCCCATCCCTGCCAGAAATGGACAGGTCTTCTGCATGTCGACCCAGTATGTCAGCAGAACACGGTTCGGCCTTACTGCACAGATGAGAGCCGAAGTGCATTCCCAGAATGTTCAAAGAGCGGATCTTTTGACGGATCAGGCCAAAAGCCAGAGGCCGTCAAAGCAAATCTGCAACAGGTAACGCTTGCTTGTTCGCACTTGATCAAACTACCACGATCAAGAGATCTGTCATGATCATCGTAATGGGATCTAGTGATCTAGTGATCTACCTAGCACTTGCCATCAGAGAAGCTGGAGAAGCTGCTGATACCCCAAATAATGCCCAAAAAATCTTGACCTGCTCGAGTAGGCAGCGGTGAGCGACGAGAACGTCAACATCCTCCTGGTGCAATAACTCCTCCACAGCCACACCACATCTTGCAATGGTGGCGATACAATTTCACACGAACTGTGCAGGCTGCCAAAACCTTCTCCTCTCTGTTCTTAGCTTTGTGTTCGTTCTTTGGGGGCTTGCCTTGCCCCAAAGCACGAACACAAAGCTAAGAACACAGAGGAGAAGGTTTTGGCAGCCTGCACAGCGGCACTGCGCGTGACCTGCGCGTGCGCACCCGACACACCCTTTCACGGATGAAGGTGCACGTGGAAAGAAAGATGCCCACAGGTGGGCGGCCTATGAGTCGTAGGCGGCCCATCTGTGGGCATCTTTGCTGGCCTCGAATGCAAGCCTGCCATGGCATGGCAGCATGGGTGGGCTGGCACTCGGTTTTTTTTAACCCAGAGACTCCAAAACCCCTTAATTCAGGAATATCCCTTAATTTGTAATAGGAACCCTAATATGATTTAAGGTATGTTCCTTAATTAAGGCGTTTTGGAGTCTCTGGGAATGTACAAGCCATGGTCATCTAGCAGCTTCAGAACCGGAATCTGCCAGATGAATGGCCATGAACAAAGAACTGATCCAGGTTCGGGGGTTGTCGGGGCTGAGGGTCTCCCGCAAGGAAAAGCACTCGGCGCTAGGGGGTTTTGGAACTATCATGTTCCTCAAGCTTCTGAACCCTAAGCCCTAGCCCTAAAACCCGATCAGGGGCGTAGGCTTAGGCTCTCGCTAGTGCTGCGGGCAACTTTTCTGACAGCCTTGTCTCATCAACAAGGGCCGAAGCCTAAAAAAACCAAACACAAGATGAGTCTCCTGAAGGCCTCCTCCGAACAACTCTACTTGAGGGTTCATGGGTACCTAGAAGTAGGGTTATAAGTAGGGTAACTATGGTAATAACCTTATTGAGGGTACTTATAACCCTACTTATGCCCGAGGTCTTCCCCTAAACCCAAGACTCCTCGCCACAAACCCGGAACGAAAAAAAGCCCTAAACCCCAAACCCTAAACCCTAAATGCGGGCCAGGGTGCACTACGGAGGACCCCCACAAAAGAGGATCGCTCCCCCGCGCGCCCACCCCGCGCCCGCTGTCGCGGCCGAGAGAAACGGCAGAGAGGCCACTTGCCAAAAAAAAGAGGTTTAGGGTTTAGGGTTTAGGGTTTAGGGTTTAGGGTTTAGGGTTTAGGGTTTAGGGTTTAGGGTTTAGGGTTTAGGGTTTAGGGTTTAGGGTTTATAGAGTTTAGGGCTTCAGGTTCAGGGCCAGGGTTTAGGGTTTCAAGGGCTTAGGGTTGAGGATTCGGGTTTGGGAGCAAAGCTGGGGCCATGGGCTCAACCCACAATCCTGAACCCAACCCCTAAACCCCGACAACCCGAAACCCCGAAACCATGAAACCCTGAAATCTTGAACATACACCTTAAACCCCGAATCTTACAGACCTGTTCGGGTACTGGTGCTATGAATACAGCTTTAAGTAAGGCAGCCTATGCTCTAAGCCTACGTAAGGCACCCGTGACCCTACTTACAGCTGCCCATGAACCCCAAACCCTAAACCCTAAACCCTAAACCCTAAACCCTGAACCCTGAACCCTAAACCCTAAACCCTAGGAAGGATGGACCCAAGCCGCTCGTCCCCTTTTCGAAGTAATCCGCACTTCAGCAACGCCGAACTGCGCCTACAGCAAATCACATGGACCATCTCCCCAGATGCCGCATTTTTAGGGGTCCTTGGGGTTTAGGGTTTAGGTTTTAGGGTTTCGGGTTTAGGGTAGACCCTCAGCCTTGAACCTTCAGCCGAATCCCAAACCTCAACTGGACGTTTTGCTGTTTCTGCTCGGATCTAAAGCCGGGTGCCTAAACCCCTAAACCCAATCCTAAGCCCTGACACCCTCGAATCCCAAAACCGAAAACACTAAACCCTAAAAACCCTACACTAAACCCTAAAACCCTAAGCTACACCCTGAAACCCTAAAACCCTAAAAACCCTAAACTAGACCCTGAAACCCCAAACACTACAGCCCTCAAACCCTAAAACTACACCCTAAAACTACACCCTAAAACTACACCCTAAAACTACACCCTAAAACTACACCCTAAAACTACACCCTAAAACTACACCCTTAAAACTACAACCCTAAAACCCCTAAAACCCTGAGCTACACCCTAAAACCCTAAAGAACCCTCAGCGAAGGAAGCGTGTTCACTTCCGCGCGGCGCCTCTCGAGGCACCCAGGTGTCGGCATCGACGGCTCGGGCGTTTAGGGTTTAGGGTTTAGGGTTTAGGGTTTCGGGTTTCGGGTTTCGGGTTTAGGGTTTAGGGTTTAGGGTTTAGGGTTTAGGGTTTAGGGTTTAGGGTTTAGGGTTTAGGGTTTAGGGTTTAGGGTTTAGGGTTTTGGGTTTAGGGGGGTTGTTCTTGGGGCCTTTCTTTCGGGGCTTAGGACGTAGGGGCGTAGAGTTTCGGGCGGTTTAGCGCAGAAAGTTTGGACGGTTTAGGATTTCAGAAAGGTGCGCAGCCCCACAGCGTTCCACCCTCCAGAAAGGTAGGGTGTCGAACTTCGGATGGCTTAGGGGTTTAGGGTTTAGGGTTTAGGGTCCAGGAGTTAGGGCCCCAACATGGAAGCCTCCAACCACAACCCTGGGGCCATGGGAATCTTGGAATCCCCATGGGTCCAGGGTTTAGGGCTTTCAGGGGGCTTTTTAGGGGTTTGGGGGTTTGGGTTTTTGGGTCCAGGGTGGAGGCTTTGGGGTTGAGGGCTTAGGGTTAGCTATGTAAGGGCCTTCAGAAGGGTGGGGTACCAGGGTAGTACGGGCACATGGGGGGCTAAGCTACCGAAGACACCGCGCCTGGGATGAAGTCATAGAGCACATCCACAAACTGGCGGTTCTCGGGGTCCTGGGGCAATTAAGGTTACGGGATAAGGGAGCCCTATGGTTACGGGATAAGGGAGCCCTGAGCCCTCAGCCCTCAGCCGAATTCAGATTGCTGCGGCTAAGCCCGTAGCCGGCGGATGCGAGTTCTTCTTGACATTCCGCCTGGGTGAAGCGTGGTGAATCTCGAGAGAGGGGTTAGGCTTCTACCCCAAGCCGCAAACGAAGAAAAGAAGCTCAAGTTGAAGAAGAGAAGAAAAGTGTGGGCACGGAAGCTGGCGAAGACGCTTAGGGGGCCTCCTCCTTCCATGCTTCTCTGCGACCTCCTTCAATTCCAACCTCTTGGGCTTCCCGAAGTTGGGTTTCCTGAGCCCCCCCACAGCGGCAGCGCGCGATCCTGTCAGCGCTGGCTTTGGGTCTCTCGGGCACTTCGGGGACAAAGGCCCCGCAAAAGGCCCAAACCCTTCAACTCCGAAATCTTCACCCTCAAGCCCTAAAAACCCCAAAGCCCCAAAACCCAAAACCTGACTGCCTCCAAGAAACTCACCCCGAAGCTTGGGATGTTCCCCCTTCTTTAAAAGGGACTCTAATTCCCCCTAGTATAATCCCCATTAAGGACTGTTTGTACAAGGGGGAACATCCCAACCCCAAAGCCAAGAAATCCCCGAAGTCGTCCACCTCCTCGTGCAGCAAGTCCGAGCGGACGAAGAAGGCGTGCGAGCCCATCTCCTGCTTAGGGACCCCCGAACTGGCATGTTTAAGGCGGTTCAGGGTTTAGGGTGCTTTTGTTTTGTTTTTGCTATTTTTTTTGTTTGTTTCTTTTTTTTTGGGAGGGGGGGGGGGGGGGGTTGAGGGCTTTTGACACCTGAGGGGTTTTTTCGGAGGCTTAGGCCTTAGGCAGGCTGCACCCATCTCTTTCCGGCATGCTCCTGAAACAGTAAGCCCTAAACCCTAAACCCTAAACCCCAAACCCTAAACCCTAAACCCTAAACCCCAAACCCTAAACCCCAAACCCCAAAACCTAGCCCGTCCAGCGCGTACGCGAAAGAGTAGCCGAAGCTCTGGGCCATCAGCGCATAGGCCAACAAGGAGCCTTCGGCATATTGTTCAGGGTTTAGGGTTTAGGGTTTAGGGTTTAGGGTTTAGGGTTTAGGGTTTAGGGTTTAGGGTTTAGGGTTTAGGGTTTAGGGTTTAGGGTTTAGGGTTTAGGGTTTAGGGTTTAGGGCCGACCTTGGCCTTCTTGGAGCTAGGCCTTGCTTGATGCTTGGCGTTGAAGGTCTTTAGGTTGGGATGGTCCCCCTTCTTCTAACAGTCCTTCATAGGGATTATAGTACCCCCGCCCTTTTTTGTAATCCTTTTTCCTTCCTTCAACCCTAAACCCTAAACCCTAAACCCTAAACCCTAAACCCTAAACTGTCAGTATAAGGGGGGAACATCCTAAAATTTAGGTGCTTCGGGGGGGGCTCTGGAGATTTTGCAGCTCTGGCCTTGGAAGCTGTGCTGATCCTGAAAGCTCATGGATACCTCCTTAGGACCACCCATTAAGGTCGTCAATAGGGTTTAGGGTTTAGTTTAGGGTTTAGGGTTTGGGGTTTGGGGTTTAGGGTTTAGGGTTTAGGGGGTTTAGGGTTTAGGTCTCTCAAACCGCACGACACAAACCCTCAGAGCCCTAGAAAGCTCTTGAAAGGCCTAAAGAAGCCCTAAACCCGGAGAAGCACTAAAACAGCACTAACACCACTGAACCACGAAGAACCGACATGTCACTATGAGAACCCCGTAAACCCCCCCCCCCAAAAAAAAAACTACTCCCTGTCTGGGATCCAAAACCGTAAACAATCCCAAGCAACGTCTACAATAAGGAGGCGTTGAATCAGCCCTAAACCCTAAACCATAAACCCTGAACCCTAAACAATCCCTGTTCAAGCCGCTGCGCCCGTCACGTTCAGGGTTTAGGGTTTCGGCACTCAGGGCTGTTCAGGGTCAGAATGCGTGTGCTGGCTCGTTTCTCTGACTTCCCCCTAAACCCTAAACCCTAAACCCTAAACCCTAAACCCTAAACCCTAAACCCCACACCCTAAGCCCTGAACCTTCGAAGAAGGAGATGCAAGGGGGCTCTACCAGCAGCTAGGATCGCAACTCGGCTGAGGGCTTCTGAAGCCCGAAATCTTCCAGGAAGCCCCAACCGCCCAAAGCTCCAAACCCTAACCCCGTAAACCCTAAAAGCCTAAACCCTAAACCCTACCTGAGGATCCTAGCGGTCGGAAATTAGTGTCCTTATGGCAAAATCTGGATTTTGCCGTAGAAAGGCCGTATTTCGGTTTTTAAATGGTTTTTTGGGGTGTAGGCAAAGCGGCCATATTTTAGGTTTAGCCTAAAAATAGTCAAGCAAGTATCCTATTGCCTGTGTAAGGGAACTCGTTGGTGCGCGCTCTTCGAGGCTTTACTTCTCTCTGAAGCCCAAATGATTGAAAAGGATTGCTTTGCGAGCACTTACGCGACTCTTTGTGATCCAAGGACCTACAGGAATTGGGTCTTCCGCAAAAGACTACAAATCCGTACCCTTATCCCAATAAAATGTCGACATTTTTTCGGGATTTTGGTGAGCCGCAGGAAAACCGTAACCCGTAGGAAAACCATATTTTATCGACATTTTGTCGACAAAAAACCAAAGAAACCCAAACCCTCATCCCGATAAAATGTCAATAAGCGGGCGTTTTGTTTTTTTAACCCTCGTATAATGAGCCTGACCGCGTAATCCAGACCTCTACAAGGCACGACCGCGCCCTGAAACCAAGCTCTTTCAGCCTTCTCAAGCCTGAGTACCTAACTGGTCCATGTTTCGGCTTCACTTGTTTTGATTGTGTTTTGTTAAGGGCCGGAAACGGTTTTTTTTGAGCCCCTCCAAGCGAACAGAAATTTCGCGAGGACATATTTTTCCAGCCTCTCGAAGCGGACGCGAATTTATGGCACAAGGGATTCCCAGGTAAACCCTAAACCCTGAACCCTAATTTAGTAAACCCTAAACCCTAAACCCTAAACCCTAGCCCTAAACCCTAAACCCACAACCCCTAAACCTTGAACTCTGCCCCCCTGGCCTACGGTGTAGATGCTTCCGTCCCACTCCGCCATGGCTGAATACCTGAGGGTTTAGGGTTTAGGGTTTAGGGTTTAGGGTTTAGGGTTTAGGGTTTAGGGTTTAGGGTTTAGGGTTTAGGGTTTAGGGTTTAGGGTTTAGGGTTTAGGGTTTAGGGATTGATTAGGGTTGGGGCGTCGGGTTTAGGGTTTAGAGTTTAGGGTTTAGGGTTTCGGGTTTAGGGTTTAGAGTTTCGTGTTTAGGGGTTTAGGGTTTAAAGTTTAAGGCTTAGGGTTTAGGCTTCGGGTGTTAGAGCTTTCAGGATTTCGGTGCTGTTTAGTGCTCAGGATGTAGGGCTTTAGGGCAGAAGAGCTCTTGAGAATGTCGATGGCTTTCAAAGCTTTGAACCCCACGCTGCACCCTATTCTCTAACCCTACACCCTAAACCCCCGAAAGAAAGCACGCAAAGTGATAACTTTGAAACCCTATAAACACGAAACACCCTGAAGCCCCTCAAAGTTCTAAAAGCGCATGCCCACAAGCTTCTTTGTAAAAATCCTGAACCGCCTAAACCTAAACCCTAGACGCTAGACCGGAAACCCTAAGCCTTAACCCTAACCCTAGACCCTAACCCTTGAAACCCGAAAGCCTAAAGCCCTTGAGCCTGAACCCTAAATCCCACAGTTGAACCCCTAGTTGCCATGTTTAACCTTAAAAACTTTTAAAACCCAAAACCCTAAGGGTCTCAAAACTCTCAACTGTTTGGGTTTAGGGTTTAGGGTTTAGGGTTTAGGGTTTAGGGTTTAGGGCTTAGGGTTTGGGGTTTGGGGTTTAGGGTTTAGGGTTTAGGGTTTAGGGTTTGCAGGGTTTAGGGTGTAGGGCTAAACCGCATGAGATCCCGAGGCCCTGGCTTCACGACCTTCGCCTCGTCGAGCGGAAGATCCGGGTTGAAATCCACGGCTACGACCTCGAGGTTTGAGCTTCAGGGCTCAGGGTTCAGAAGGTTTAGAGTTTAGGGTTTAGGGTCTAGGGTCTAGGGTTTAGGGTTTAGGGTTTAGGGTTTAGGGTTTAGGGTTTAGGGCTTAGGGTTTAGGGTCTTAGGGCTTAGGAGGGTTGGCTTCTACAGGGTTTGGGGTATAGACTTTGGGGCTCAAGGCTTCGATGACCCCCTGGTTCTTCGTAGGGAATGACTGTATATACCCTTTTAGGGTTTAGGGTTTAGGGTTTAGGGTTTCGGGTTTAGGGTTTAGGGTTTAGGGTTTAGGGTTTAGGGTTAGTTAAACCCCATTAAGGTACTTAAGGGGCTTCAACTACACTTATAATGGGTTACTAGGTACCCTAAACCTCCAAGCAGGGCCTGTTGTTATACCCTTTAAGGGATTCTGCAGGGCACCTCATTCCCTCATTCCAAGAGCAAACCCTAAACCCTAAACCCTACACCCTAAACCCTAAACCCTAAACCCTAAACCCTAAACCCTAAACCCTAAACCCTAAGAGCCAGCCGATGGATGCAGCCTCAGACCCACAAGGCCTGGACCCACAGGCCCTGCTGGTCATCAGTACAGGATTTTCCGGCTGGCTGTTTGTAGGGAAAGAGAGAATGAGGTATCCTACATGATCCCTTAAAGGGTATATGTATGTGTATATATATTTATACCCTTAAAGGGTATATTTATATATACCCTTTAAGGATATATATATATATATATATAACATATATATATACATATACATATACATATACATATACATATACATATACATACATACATACATACATGCATACATGCATGCATGCATGCATGCATGCATGCATGCATACATACATACATGTATATATCTATATACATACATATATATATATATATATATATATATACGTATATATATATATATATATATACATATATATAGGTCCTCATTCCCTCATTCCCTGCGAAGTACGGGCCAGCAACTCACGAGAATGGTACAGCCCCAACCCTCTGAGCCTCGACGCCCTGCAGGCGGGCGCCGACCCCAAAAGGGAAACCCCAAACCCTAAACCCCAAACCCTAAACCCTAAGCCCTAAACCCTAAACCCTAAAGCCCTCGTTTTGGGAAAGGTTAACATCAACGCCTCGACCGTTGGGCCCCCGCACCCGGGGTCGGAACGTACCATCTTCGAGGAGGGCACGCCAGATCCTAGGTTGGGCTTGACGAATTCTGGTCCCTTTGGGGTTTAGGGTTTAGGGCTTAGGGTTTAGGCTTTAGGGTTTAGGGTTTAGGATTTAGGGTTTAGGGTTTAGGGTTTAGGGTTTAGGGTTTAGGGTTTAGGGTTTAGGGTAAAGGTTTAGGGTAAAGGTTTAGGGTTAGCGTTTAGGGTTTAGGGTTAAAATCAGGGCCCCTATTCTTTAGGGTGCCCACAAAGGGACCCTAATTTAGAGAACTGACCAGATGAAGTGTGGCCGCCCTAGGATTCTTGCACGAACTTCCGGGCCCCCACCTTTGAGTTTTGGGGTTTAAGGTTTGAGGGTTTGAGGGTTTTAGGGTTTAACCCTAAACCCTCAACCCTAAACCCTCAGCCCTAAACCCAAAACCCTAAACCCTAAGTATTTGCGAGCTTGGGGTTAAGTTCGGTCCAGGCACCAGGTGATTCGAGATACAGTCGGCAAACGCATCGCTCCGCCCCTCGGCCCCAACTCCGAAACCCTAAACTTCCCTAAACAACCCTAAACTTCCCTAAACTTCCCTGAACTTCCCTAAACTTTCCTAAACAATCCTAAACTTCCCTAAACTTCCCTGAACTTCCCTAAACTTTCCTACACTTCCGAACTTCCCTCAACTTCCCTAGACTTCCCTAAACCCTAAACGTAAACCCCAAACCCTAAACCCTAAACCCCTGAACAAACTTCAAGGTTGGCCCAAGGGGTCCAGTAGTCGTTGTAGTCCGTATCCACGGTGAGGAGGTCGAAGTCCTTGGGAACCCCGTGCCTCGGATGTTCAGGGTTTTGGGGGTTGACTTGTTTAGGGTTTAGGGTTTAGGGTTTAGGGTTTAGGGTTTAGGGTTTGCGGTTTACGGTTTACGGTTTACGTTTTGCGGTTTAGGGCTTAGGGCTTACAACTTAGGGTTTAGGAGGGTTTTAAGGCTTTTGGGGTTTAGAGGGTTTGGGCTTTAAGGGTTTAGGGTGTGGGTGGTTTCGGGGCTTAGGGGTTTGGGGTCTAAGGCCTGGGGTTGAGATTTGAGGATTGGGGGTTCTCTTGGAGCTTGGGATTGTTTCAGGCTGAGGGCTTCTTGGAGGTTTTGCATTGTTTAAAAAAAGGCAAAGGTCGAAGAGATGTCACAAAGGAAACCCAACACCCTGAACGGCAATGCGGTGGGGCTGGCGGAAAGGAGAAAGGATTAGGATTCAGGGTTTAGGGTCAACAGAGGCTTGGTTTCGCTTGATTAATCAGCAGGGAAGCGGGCGCCTTCACAATTTCAAATCAACCTTTAGCGTTTAAACGCTACACCTAAGCCCTCGATTCCCTCAGCCCCGGAGCACCAAGGGGCCAAGACTTGCTGGTTCTTAGAAGGGAGTGAGGGCTGTATCCCTGTGTACACTATATATATATATATATATGCTCACCCCCCCCCCCCCATGATCTAGGTCGAAAGGCCTTTCGGGCCCATCGAAGCGAGATTTAAACCTAAGTCGGAATGAAAATTAAAAGGCCACTGGCCTCATTCGTAGTAAAATTTTTTTAGAAATCTAAATTTGCCAATTAAAAGCCGCACCCTATGAAATCCTCTTCTGGGGCCTGCCTGTCCGTAACAAAATCTCACAAGAGCTTTATATGCAGAGGTTACAGCCTCAGAAATCCTCATCTGGGCTTCCTGCCTATTTTATTGAGAAAATGCTTCTACATAAGAAGCCCACACCCTACGAAAAGAATTCTATACTTAAAGGCCACACCCTATGAAATCCTCTTCTGGGCCCTCTTAATGAAATTTCAGTAGACTTGTGTCTGATAAAGCCACAGCTTCGTTCGTAATTAACCCAAGTAAAAAAACATATTAAGAGGCCCAGCCCCAAGACATCCTCTTCTAAGCCTCATTGATTAATACCTATTTAGAACATTTTTGTTTTTCCCACACCCTGTGAAATCTTTCGCTGGCCCCATTCGTAATGAAACGCAATTTGATTTCATATTGTAAGCCCACACCCTAAGAAATCCTCTTCTGGGCTTCGTTCGTAATTGAACCCAAGTAAAGCAAGTGTATATTCAGAGGCCAACCCCAGGACATCCTCCTCGCAATGAAACCGAGTTAGAATTCTATATTGCAGACCATACCCTATGAAATCCCTTTCTGGCCCCTATTTGTAATGAAGATTAATTAGAATTCTGTATTACAAAGCCACACGCCAAGAAATCCTCATTAGACCTTCGTTTGTAATTAGACTTATTTTCGATTTGCCAAGATGCTTGTATTAAAAAAAGCCACACCATTCTGGGGCCTGTTCGTAACAGAATCTCGTAAGAAGTTTATAATTCTAGGTAAGAAGCCCACACCCTAAGAAGTTCTGACCTAGGCTAGGTTCGTATGTAACTCTTGGACAGAAATTTATATCATGAGCCCCCATTCGTATTTGAATGTACTTACAATTCCATATTTAACCGCTAGACCCTATGAAATCCTCTTCTGGTGCCTATTAGTGAAATGTCAATAGACTTGTATATGATAAAGCCATAGCTTCGTTAGTAAATTAAACCCAAGTCAAACAAACAAATTAAGAGGCCCCGCCACAAGACATCCTCTTCTAAGCTTCATTGGTTAATACCTATTTGGAATTCTATTTTGCAGACCACACCCTATGAAATTCTCCCCTGGCCTCGCTTCATACTACAATGTTATTTGAGGTTTGTATTAAAACGCCACACCCTAAGAAATCCTCATCTGGACTCGTTTGGAATTCCACTTAAATTGAATTTTAAGTTTAGAGGCCACACCCCTTTGGACAGAATTTAAAAGGCCACACCCTAAGACCTGTGTATGGTAAAGCCACAGCTTCGTTCGTAAAACCAAACCAAGTAAAACAATTAAGAGGCCACGCCCTTCTAAGCCTCATTCGTTACTACCTCTTTGGAATTTTATTTTACTGACCACACCCTGTGAAAGTCTCCTCTGGCCCCGCTTCGTAATGAAATGTAATTTGAGGTTTGCACTAAAACACCACACCCTAAGAAATCCTCAACTGGACTTCCTTTGTGATTCCACTTAAATAGACGTTTAAATTAAGAGGCCACACCCCAAGACATCCTCTTCGAAGCCCCACTCTTTTTTAAGTCCAATTAGACTTTTGAATTGCAGGTCCACATCCTCAAAAGAACCACACCCTAAGAAACCCTCTCTATTTCTTTTTTTTATTACTTCTCACATTAAGACGCCACATCCCAAGACATCCTCTTCTAAGCCTCATTTAAATCTAATGGAACTTTACATGTTAACGCCACGCCCTGCATACCGAATAGGCTGAATTGAAAAAAACGAATGGTGGGTGTGTTTGTGTGCTTTTCTCTGTGTGTGTGCAAGGCAGTCACATTAGCAGAAACAACGTATAACAATACACATTCTTTATACAAGAAAAGCATTTTTTGCAAAATTTGCTATAAAAAAAACCCAAAAATCCAAAAATCCAAAAACTCAAAACCATGGAGCCGGGAGGCCGCCTTTTTTGGATTTTTTAGTTTTCTCGAGGCTTTTTTGGTTTTTTTGGAACATCCAAAAAAAAAACCATGTTTTTTTTGGATTTTATTTGCTCCTGGCCTCAAAAACCTAAAAACACATGGTTTTTTTTTGGATTTTGAGTGAAAATCCAAAAAAAAAAACCATGTTTTTGGATTTTTGGATTTTTGGATTTGTGTCAAAATTTTCAAATTCTGCAAAAAAGAAGTGTTTTTTGCATACAATTCTGTGTTTATAAGCCTGTCCTATGCAAATAATTCATAGACATGTTTACCAAATTGCATTTTCCTGTGTTTTTGGGGTGTTTTTTTATGTGGTGATGTGGAAGTAGTGCTAAACACACGCGTTTTTCACTATTTACAGGTTTTCTCGCATAGGACTAGACGTGCAAAAACAGGACATCGCCTAGCATAGCCAGCATGTCATTTTAATCGGTATTTACGAGGGTTTTTATAGGGACAAAGCAAAACCTAGATCATGGGGGGGGGGGGGGTGACCATATATATATATATATATATATTACCCTTTAAGGGATTATGTAGGGTAGCTGATTCCCCCGTTCCCTACTAAGAACCAGCGGCCAAGAACAAGCCACCAACCCGACCTTGCTTCAGGATCTAGGTTTAGGGCGGCCAGCAACACAGTGGCCGGCTGAATTCGAATGATTCTTTGGGGTAGCTCATCTCGAGATTATGCAACACTGGAAAATATATACTGCAGGCCCCTCCCAAACATCCCCATTGACGGCGTTTGCTTTCATGCTCAGGCTCCCGGGCCCGAAATTCCAACCCACCTCTCAGAAACGCCGCTTTCGAACCCTCGTTCCAAGCCGGGGCGCTTCACAAAGAGCTCCACAACATTCTCCGCTGTCACGAACCTTTGGAGGTTGGGATGGGGACATCCATGGGCACATGTCTCAGGAGCTCTGCACCCCAAACCCCTCTTCCCCAACCCCAAACCAGAACATCCCTGAGCCCAACCCTAAGCACTAGATTCGCCCGAAAAAATCGACTCCCCCCCCCCCCCCCCAAGCCCCAAGCCGACCCTGTCAGGCTCCGACTCCGTGCGAACTATGTCGGCCACCCCAGGGCAGTCACGACCTCAAGGCCAACATGTATTGATTGAGTTAGCAGGGTTTAGGGCTTAGGGTTTAGGGTTGAGGATTTAGGGTTCAGGGTTCTCATCCGTAGTATTCTGATTCTTGCTACTGCTGCTATGGCTGTTGCTTCTGCAAAAAAACAACCATGAGAGCCGTTGTTGCTAAGTTTTACTACTTTTTGTTGTTCCCATTTTGCTTATTACGACACCACTGTCACCATCATCACTACCCGCATCTGTCCTGTTTCTAAGACTGCACAATTACTATTGCCATTGCTACTGCTAGTACGACTTTTAGTACTACTCCTGTTCCTCTTCTTCATCCAGTTGTTCTTGTTATTGCGTTGCAATGATTACCATTCTTCTTCAGTTCTTCTTGTTAGTCGCAGTCGTGTTCGTAGGGTAGTCGCGATCGTAGTCGGAGTCGAAGTTGTAGTCGTAGTTGCAGTTGTGTTCATATTGCTACTTTTACTGGCAGCCTTCTTCTTGCTCTTCGTATTGTCGCTACTAGCACTGATACGTTAACCCTACCACTGATGATCGCCGGTTGTCTTCTCATCATGAATACTTCGCTGCGAAGTACTCTTGTAGCAGTCATAACCTACTGCCTATCCCTACATACACCCCAAGCTTAGCCCAACTTCTGCTTGCGCGAACCTGACGCAGCGCCGTCCTGAAACAAAACCAATGTCCAGGCTAGAACACGTACCCCCAGGCAACTTTGAACCCAAGCCTCTAAACCCAAACCTCCCGACCTTCTAACATCCCTTCACACGGCCAAATAAACCCTAAACCCTGAAGCCCTAAGCCCTAAGCCCTAAACCCTAAACCCTAAACCCTAAACCCTAAACCCTAAACCCTAAACCCTAAACCCTAAACCCTAAACCCTAAACCCTAAACCCGAACCCCTAAACCCGCCCAAGACCCTGCCAGGGCCACCGGCAGCCGCCATGGGGCGTCTCGCCGGGCTGCGAGTCCAGCAAGATGCCATCCCAGGAGCAGAACTCCTTTTAGTGGTCTGATTTTTGCGTTCCGGCTTTGGGGGTGTAGAGTTTTAGGGGTTTAGGGTTTAGGGTTTAGGGTTTAGGGGTTAGGGGTTAGGGGTTTAGGGCTTAGGGCTTAGGGCTTAGGGCTATAACAAGCGCAGCCTTTTCTGGCTGGATACTTTATAAGGGTACCCAGAACCCAAAACAAGGGTAAAGGGTACCTGTGGGCTACCAAGTTAGTGTCTTTTAGGCATTCGGGCTTTCGGGGTGTAGAGTTCTGGGGGATTTAGAGTTGAGGGCTCAAAGGATATTAATGCGTCCAGCATTACACTTCTTATAACTACGTGAACGGGGTAAACTTCTCTGTGAAGGAACGAAACCAATGAAGTTCTTGGAATTGTTGTTAATGAGTCCGCGGCTGTAGGATATAGTACTTTGAGACGATGACGCGATTAATCTTGTTTCGCCGCTCCGTGTTCATCTTATGCTTCTTGACGCCCATGTAAAATCAGGGGTTTCGTTTCACTCTTGATGATTAGATCTAATACTAAGTGGGTATTTCCGAAAAGGGGGGGTACCCCCCCCAACAAGGTACCCCCTTTTTTCGGAAACCCCCAAATAACCCATCCAGATTGTATGGAATAATGCTGCAGGAATTCTCGTTCTCGTTTACTCTTGTACGGGCGTGTCTTGCATTATTTCGCCCGCTCGCCGGAAAACTTCTTGTGCGCTTCGTTCTCTTCTCGCGCTTTATTCATTAAGGCTTTTAGTACAATGATGCATGATCCGTTCACACGTTCACTAAAAGACGCTTAGAATGTGATGAAAACATATGAGTATAACTTTGAGTAAGCGAACACACGGCATGAACACATAATAGAAATGGATGGGAAAGAAATTAGTCATGTTTTGGTAAACACCCCTCTGAACCCTAAAACCCTAGACCCTGTAAGCCCTACACCGATGAAACTTTAAACACCCGAAACTCTAAAGGCCCCAGACGCTGTCCCCTAAGCCCCAAACTCGAAATCGACTAAACCCTATAGACCCCTAAACTCCATGAACCCTCAAAGCCCTAAACCCGATAAGCCCTAAACCCTTAAAACGCATAAACACCCTATAGACCCTAAACCCTACAAACCTCAAACACCCGAAAACCCTAAACGCCCCAGAACTGGAGCCCTACAGGCCCCAAACCCCCAGCCGCCAGACCCTAACAACTCGAAAAGCCCCCAAAGCCCTACAGACCCTAAAGCCCCAACCCCTCACCCTGTACACCCTAAACCCCACAAAGCCCTAAAACACCCTTGAAAACCGCCAGAACCCTCTCCCTACGACCCTAAGCCCTAAACCCTAAACCCTAAACCCTAAACCCCAAACCCTAAACCCTAAACCCTAAACCCTAAACCCCCCAATGCCGAGCCAGGGCCCCGGCCCGCAAGGCCGCCGAGTTCAGCATCCCGGGCTTACGGGCACCGAACTCCACCTGGCAGGCCGTTAGGCTCTAGGTTTTGGGTTTAGGGTTTAGGGTTTAGGGTTTAGGGTTTAGGGTTTAGGGTTTAGGGTTTAGGGTTTAGGGTTTAGGGTTTGGGGTTTGGGGTTTGGGGTTTGGGGTTTGGGGTTTGGGGTTTCGGTTTTGTGGTGGAGGGTTTGGGGCTTAGGATCTGGGGGGTAGGTGTTTAGGGTTTGGGGTTTGGGGGATTTGGGGGATTTGGGGTTCGAGGTCGCAGGCTGAGTTCGGATAAATTGGAGGAATGAAATGCCGGGGGGACTTGTGGGATTTCGGTTGAGATTTGAGAGGATCAAGGGCCAAGGATTTTGGGCCTTCCGGGTTTTCGAGTACAAACCTATACACTCCTAAGCCCCATTTAGGGTTTAGGGTTCCTGCTCACATGTTTCGCACTCTGCGCTGGCATGCTTGGCGCCTTGCAAAGGGTTGTGGGCGTTGCCATGTCTATCCATCACCTGGGAGTCTTCAATGGCATCATCGTGCCAGACAAGCCTGCTAGTGTAACCATCGTCCGTTCCACTTTGCCAATGATAGCCCAGCCTCATTGCAGGTGCCGGGAACTTACTTCTCACCAGTCCACATCCACTGCGCCACTGAGCCAAGGCCCCAGCGCACGGCCAACCCTAAACCCTAAACCCTAAACCCTCAACCCTCAACCCTAAACCCTAAACCCTAGAAGTACTGCGCACAGGCAGGATCGCTGTCGTTTGCTCGTCAAGCGGCAGACGCTGAGAAGCTTGCAGGCAGGAGGAAGCCGGAAGCTGCTATGGGGTTTAGGGTTTAGGGTTTTGGGTTTTGGGTTTAGGGTTTAGGGTTTAAGGTTTAGGGTTTAGGGTTTAGGGCTTAGGGTTTAGGGTTTAGGGTTTAGGGTTTAGGGTTTAAGGCTTCGGGTCAGAGCTTGGGGGATCTTCAGTTCGCTGGGCTCCTCCGCATAGTTTGAGGTCTTTGGCTGAGGGTTTAGAAGCTTTATTTGCAAGAATGACATGTCAGGGGAGTTGTGGGATTTCGGGGTTTAGGGGACTTAGAACCGGATTTGAGAGGATCAGGGCCAAGGACTTTGGGTACTGAACCCTAAGCCCCTGAAGCCCAAAACCCTTAAACCCTAAATCCAAAACCCTAGATCCTAAACCATTAATCCTATCAAGCCTGAAAGTCCAACACTTTGAACCGTCCAGGGCTCCACATCGAAAATCCACGTAGGGAAGAAGCCTTTGGCCGTTTAAGGCTCGAGGATCTGGGTATCCTGAACCCCGAAACGCTGAATAATCAGCTCTCAGGGCCGGAGGTCCCTCAACCCTAAACACCAAACCCTAAACCCCAAACCCTAAACACTAAACCCTAAACCCCAAGCCCTAAACCCTAAACCCTTAGCCCTAAACCCTACGCCTACGAGGGGCTGAGGTCTGAAGATCCCCCAAAAGCGCCGGGCAGGCGTAGAAGGGGGCCGACCCGCCCTCCGCGGCCTCCGCAGAAGATATGGGGGGGAGGGTAAGGGTTTAGGGTTTCGGGTTTAGGGTTTAGGGTTTAGGGTTTAAGGCTTAGGGTTTAAGGTTTAGGGCTGAGGGTTGTGGATCTTGAAGCACGTGGATGCATGTGCAGAGCCGCCGAGGCTCGCAGCCCTGTGGGTTTGGTCTAGGAGGTTTCGCATTCCAAAACAGGTCTTCAAATTTGAAAAGGTGGCTTTCGCAGTACGGTCGCAGGTGTCATAGAAAAGCGGCCCTAAGCCGCCTCCCAATCTTTCAAGGGATTCGGGGTTTAGGGTTTAGGGTTTGGGGTTTAGGCTTTAAAGTTCAGGGTTTAAGGGTTCATGGTTGAGGGTTTCGGGTTCAGTGCCCTTAGTCTTGCGCCCTCAACCCTGAACCTCCATGCCATTCGCCACAATTGCGGACGAGAGGCTGGGCCAGTTCCGTCCCGGAAACCCACATGGTCGAAGATGGCTCGCAGTACCTTTAGGTTAGGGCTGCAGAGAAGAGGGCGCTGTGTGGCATGTGTAATTTCGCAGCTACTGTGCAAGAGAGCCTGTGTTGTGTGGAGGTTTGTGGCTAACTTCTGCTAGTGGAGGTGAAAATGTGAATGCCTGGAAGCACACATGAAACGCATATGCTTCGGGCGTATCTACGTCTGTACATTTTCTAGTATACAAATATTGATGTGGGGGGGGGGGGGCATATCTCCTACATACACCATACGCCATACTATCTTTTCTCTCCTCTCACTCTCCCTCGCTCTCACTGCATTTGCCTGCAGATGCAAAGGTGCACAGCCAGAGAAGTAGCCTTGGGTGTCTTCGGGGCGCTTCGCACACCGGCGGGGTGGTGTTGGAGGATTTACGGTTTCCTCTGATGAAACGATCAGGGTCCGCGCTTCAGGCGGGGCGGTATCCTCATATCCTAGGTTAGCGTAGGGTTGAGGCTGTGGGTCTAAGACCAACGCATGCTCCCTCAACCTGTTCTATTGGATAGTAGTCCCACCCCGTGCCCGAGCATTTGGACTTGGAACTATCGGGTCAGTTCTGGGCTCTAAACAGTAAACCCTAAAACCTAAACCGAAACCCTAAACATTTGGGATTCAACCTGCACCCAATAGTCTTCGCCACATGCCCGTTCAAACCTGAACCCCAAACCCTAAACCATGAATCCTAAACCCAGGTACCAAAGGCAGGCCCTGAACCATTCGACCCTAAACCCTAAACCCTAAACCAGAAAACGAACTTCAACCATGTTTAGCGATTATTGGCTTCCTATAATCACAACCAGAACAAAAACTGGGAAAAATAAACAGATGCGCGGTCGTGTATTAGGGTCTCTGCCCTTATGGCAGACATGTTAAAAAAAGAAACCGTAGATACATCAAAAAATTTGGGGTTTGGGGTTTGGGGTTTAGGGTTTGGGGTTTAGGGTTACAGCAAATCGATACTCGGCTCTTTTCGCGTGCCTGCACGTCAGGTCAGCCAAAATCATGCAGTCAAAAGTGTCCAGCCCGATGGCCGCTGGGTTAGATCCTGTGCTGCTTACCCAGGGAGCATCGGGCTCTCATACAACCATGCGCATGCATATCTCCTCAAGGCTCTGGCAGACTGTTAGAGGGTATGATTCCTCCGACTATGTAAGCTTACCAGGCTGTAGGAGTGAAACCAATCTATGCGACATGCAATGAGCATGCATTTTGCGGCTGCCAGTGATTGTCAGTGGCAGCCATACTAAAGAATGGCACGTTAAGCCATAATTAGATGTGCACCTCACTCAGCCTCCTGTCGTCGCCATAAATGTCGTCTTCGTCATCGTCCTCATCGCCCCCGGCAAGGAAGGTTGAGCCAAGAGTGCCAACCTTGATTTTGCTGTACCGGACCCGGGCACGAGGATACTTGTCGCGAAGGTAGGCGGGAAGACCAGTGTCGGTCCTGCATGGGCCCCTGTTCACACCAGGCAGGCTCGGATCCTTTTCCAGGGGGTAGTCCGAGTCCAGCCAGAGCATGTTGGCATCTGAGTCGTCCCAGAGTGACATCACAAGCACCATGCCTCGCTGCAAGGCTTCCCCCATAGCCTTCAGGCCACCCTTCCGAGCGAAGTCGTTGATGTCTCCGAAGGCTGACTTCATTGCCGCACAGGTGGCATCGGTGACGGAATCGCCGACCATGCCTGCAATGGAGATGTTGGAGTTTGGGATGACCCGCCCATCCTGCACGTAGAAACGTCGAATGTCGATGAGGTCTCCATCATCCGTGTTTCCCTCGGTGATGAACTGCGTGACAACAGTCAGCTTCTTCTTGGAGTTGACTGTGAAGCCGTTGCCACGACCATAGTACTCCTTGTCACCAAGGCGGTAGTGGTTGTAGTCGCAGCCATCCTTGTCGCAGACACCATCGTAGCGTGCATCCTCGGAATTGTCACCGCACTCGGTGCCCTCACAGACGTATGGACCGGTGATGGAGCAAGGGTGCGGCGTGTAGGCGGTGGCACGGCTGTTGGCCTCCCAGATATCCATCTCTGCACAGCAGATGCCCCAGGATCCGATGGGAGGGTCGTGGCTGGCATTCCAGCCGACGATGTTGGCCTTACCGTTCATGAACTTCATATCATGAGGGCACTGTGCATCACAGTAGCCCGTGCCATACTTGGCTCCGGCTGCATTGGTTCCCCCACTCCGAGCCTTCCCACCATCTGCATCCATCTCCACAAAGTACACTGCACCGTTCAGGCCACAGGGCATCTTCGCCATGTCTGCCGTCAGCGTGAACTCCCTGTTCTTGAGCTTGAACATCTGGTAGTTGTTCTCGTCGTCCAGCATGTAGACCCGAGAGCCATAGTTGGATCCGTACTTGGTTGTAGTTACAAAGTCCAATTCGATGCCATCCTGAATCGACTGGATGCCATAGGTACTCTTGTACTGCTTCTCCGAGTTGCCCTCCATGTGACAGTTCAAGGCGCATGTGACGGGGTCGGGGCACAAGGTCTTGTCCCAGTCACCATCCTTGTAGCAGTTCGTGTACTGGCCGTTGTGGAGCCAGCGCCAGTTCGCATCGAGCACTACGGACTTCATCTCCTTAGAGCAACCTCCAGCATCACAGGTCCAGAGGGCCATCTCGGGATGTGCTTCCTGCTCATGGGTTCCAATCTGCTGGGCGGATGCCAAGGCGCAGAGGCTCAAGAAGACTGCAAGCATGATGCCGGAATATGCCGGAGTCGCAAGTCTCTGCGGAAGCGCACTGGTCTCTTGGGCTTAAGCCGTTGAAACGCCTGTTTGCCAAAATGGCTACGGAACAAGGCTCGGTTTGGGGTCTCAGGCTTGGGGGGGTAGGGGGGGTTGGGGGGGTTGGGGAGGAGTGTAGCTTCAGGATTGCGCAACGCCCGACCCCTGGAGCCTTAACAACCCTTTGGAGGCTCAGGGGTAATTGTAAGAGAGAAAGCAAAAAAAGTACCTTCAGCACCGCACTAAAGTCATAGCACGGGCAACCTGACCTATGATTGTATGTTGCACTACCCCAGACCCTAAACCCTAAGCCCTGAACCCTAAACCCTAAGCCCTGAACCAATGCAGCTTCAAGTCCGACCAGAGCTTGAAAACGCCCCCCCCCCCCCACACACACACGAAGGGAGCACCCCGTCTTGCCCGCACTGGCTGCACACCTTGGCGAAGCTTTCAGGAGGATTCTCAGGGTTTAGGGTTTAGTTAGGGTTTAGGGTTTAGGGTTTAGGGTTTAGGGTTTAGGGTTTAGGGTTTAGGGTTTAGGGTTTAGGTTTAGGGGTTAGGGTTTAGGGTTTAGGGTTTTGGGTTTAGGGTTTAGGGTTTAGGGTTTAGGGTTTAGGGTTTAGGGTTTAGGGTTTAGGGTTTAGGGTTTAGGGTTTAGGGTTTAGGGTTTAGGGTTTAGGGGTTTAGGGGTTTAGGGGTTTAGGGTTTAGGGTTTAGGGTTTAGGGCTTTTTTGGCTTTCGGAAGATGCACCCCACAGGATACTGCAGTTCATTACGGCGCTTGGGGCGCAAGACTTCCGTATATGAGCCCTGAAGCCCTGAAACCCTGAAGCCCTAAAACCCTGAAGCCCTGAAACCCTGAAACCTTGAAGCCCTGAAGCCCTGAAATCGTACATCTGGCCACCTAAACCCTGAAACCGCGGACCTCTCAACTAGAGTTCTCCATCAAAAGCGCTTATACAGGCTAGCAACAGCAACAAGAATGTTTAGGATTTGGGGTTTAGGGTTTAGGGGTTGTTGTAATTGCTATGAGAAAGGAACTGTCATTCTTATACTACTCAACCCTAACCCTAAACCCTAAACCCTAAACCCTAGACCCTAAACCCTAAACCCCAAACCCTAAACCCTAAACCCTAAACCCTAGTCTTAAGACACCAGACCCGAACGTCACTGAGGCGCGCGGCTCGCTCCTCCATGTCGTGGCTCATCTCGGCTAGCCAGGGCCTTCTCGAGGGTTTAGGGTTTAGGGTTTAGGGTTTAGGGTTTGGGGTTTAGGGTTTAGGGTTTAGGGTTTCGGGTTTCGGGTTTCAGGTTTAGGGTTTTAGGTAAGGGATAGGATTAGGGGGCTCCTTGCGGATATAGACCCTCTCAATAAGGTCCCTATTTAAGAGGCCCAGATGAGGGTTCAGGAGGGTTCCCGTTTAAGGGTCCCCCTTTAACCAACCTAGGATTAGGGCTTGGGCTTTAGGGTTGCGAGTTCAGGGGTTCGGGTTTAGGGTTTAGGAAGATGCGAACGCCTCCCACACACCAGCGTCGCAGCACCCCAAGAACACAAAGAGGGTTCTCGCTTGCGGACTAAAACGCGAACACTTCCCACACACCAGCGCAACGGCGCGCCAAGGACACCGAGAGGGTTGTCGTTTCCGGACTAAGATGCCAACGCCTCCCACGCGCCAGCGCGATCTTTGGGCAGGTGCGGCGAGTCCCGCCAACCCTACCCCTGCTTTAAAATCATATTAATTCTAGGAGGAAAGCCACGAAATCCACCTCGCCGTTCATCCATCCATCATCCATCACGAAATCCACCCATGCATCATCGATAACGAAGAATCTTCCCGAAGACCACCTCCGCTGAAAAACCCGCGCCATGCTTGAAACCCTGAACCCTAAACAGCATGAAAACCGTAAAGCCCAAAACCCATAAATGGAAAACCCTCGGCTCTCGAGACCCTGAGCCATGTGCAAAACCCCTAAAGCCAAAAAGCGGCTTTAAAAACCCTGCAACCCACAAGGATCCTAAACCCTGAACGCTGTAAATTCCGAAGCCCATCAACCCTAGAATCCCGAAACCTCAGACACTCTCAGCCCGGAAAGCCATAACCTTTGAACTCGAGGGATTAATTGGGGTGGTGGGAGGGGAGACAGATCGCCATCGCATGCATCGGGATTGGCACGTGCTTGAATCGCCTATGCTTGAATCGCCAGTGCTTGACTCAGGTTTTGTGCTCGCATCGCGTGTGCTTCACCCAGCAGTGCTGGAATCGCGAGTGCTTCACTCGCAATGATTGAACCGCTGACATTTAAAGGAATAGGCTCGGGCGGCTTGCCGTCGTAGACGGTGTGGGGTGGGATGAAGAAAGGGGCCATCTACAATCAGCCAATCACATAGCGCGATAACCTCGATGACCCTGCTTGAGCAAGACACTTCAGCATACACGCCATTCTATGAACCCTAAACCCTACACCCGAAGCCGTAAACCCTAAACCCTAAACCCTAAACCCTGACCCCTAAACCCTAGACCCTAAACCCTGAACCCTAAATCCTAAACCCTAAACCCTAAACCCTAAACCCTAACCCCTAAACCCTAAACCCTCCTCCCCCCTTGAAGACAGGGAAAGCCTGATGGGTTGGGAGGGCCGCTGGCCGCGCGCCACGCACCAAGCTTAGAGGCCGAGGCGATCGGAGGCTTCTGTTGGGGTTTAGGGTTTAGGGTTTGGGGTTTGGGGTTTAGGGTTTAGGGTTTAGGTTTAGGGTTTAGGGTTTAGGGTTTAGGGTTGAGGGTTTCTGGTGGGAACCCGACACCCGGTGTAGTGAGTCTAGGGCGTAGGGTTTCGAACAACGAAACTCAAGCCCTGAACAAGTCCTGAAGCAACCACACCACAGCGCCTTCTTAGGGTAGTTCCATGGTCCCTTAGTATGGGCCCCCAAGGGGACCCCTTATATACCCCTTATATTCCCTATACAACCCTAGGCCTACATATCAGAACCCTGTAAAGGAGGTAAGGGACCGTATTAGGGGCTCATGAAACTTCCCTTAGACTGTGTCACAGCCCCCAATCCGAAACCCTAGGCCCCAAACCTGTTTTGGCAAACACGCAGGGTGTTTAGGATTTCTAGAAGTTCGCAAAGATCATGCGGCCCTATCGCCAAGGGGTTGAGCATGAGAGGGGGTTTCGGGTTCTTACTTCTAGGGTTTAGAGTTTAGGAGTTAAAGGTTTGGGGGTTTAGGGTTTAGGGTTTTGGGTTTTGGGGTCTGGCTGGGGTTTCGCCCAAACCCGCTCTTGACATGGTCTGGGAAGCAGCATTCCTACCGCCTTACAATCTTGCGACGTCTTCTATGCTGCCACCATCCCTCGAAGATGTTGCAGCCCTTTAGTCTTAGGGTTTAGGGTTTAGGGCTTAGGGTTTAGGATCTAGGGTTGCAACTCCCCAATGAATGCCAAAGCCCTCTGAAATCTTGGAACCCACCGCAATGGCAAAGCCCTGAAGCCTATAGCCGCCTATAGCCTCCTATAGCCTAAAACTAACCCCGACGCCTCAAAGACCACCCTTTAGGGCTTAGGGGTTTAGGGCTTAGGGTTTAGGGTTTAGGGCTTAGGGCTTAGGGTTTAGGATTAAGGGTTTAGGGCTTCGGGCTTAGGGTTGAGGGCTTAGGGTTCAGGGTTTAGGAACCCGAAACCCCCCAAACCCCCTAGCTTGGGCATGCTGGCTCTGCGGCTCCATCGTGCCCATGAAGTCCTCGCCAGGAAAGAGTTCCGGGTGGCGTTTAGGGTTTAGGGTATAGGGTTTAGGGTTTAGGGTTTAGGATTCAGGCTTCGGGTTTCGGGTTTAGGGTTTAGGGTTTTTGTTGGGCTTTTTGGGTTTAGGGTTTAGGATTCAGGCTTAGGTTTTAGGGTTTCGGGTTTTAGGGTTTAGGCTCTAGGGTCGACCGCCCCCTGAACCCTTAAGCACACTGCGGCCGCGCCGCAGGCCAAGTGCAGATGTCGTGCTCGCCGCAGCCGACAAAGATGCTCCGGAAGGCCGGTCGGCGGTGCGGGCAGGGCCTTACTCGGAGGTTCATGGTACATATTTAACCAACCATGACTGTACTTACAACCCCTTATGAGCCCCTTATTTGCTGAAGAACACCAAAAGAGTAAACGAACAGTAATCCCTATATTACCCTTCATAAGGAAGATGTTGTTTTTGTTTTTTAATATTTTGGGGGGGTTCTTAAGCAACTAGTAGTGTTGCAGTGTTATCATACCATTGCTAGACTGCTAGCGTTACGTTTATTATATAACTGATGTTAGTATGTTGCATGTAAATGTTATACACATGTTAGTATATGAACACATATATACACATGTGTAGATACATATATGGACACACACACACCCCATGACCTACCGCTCTCTGTTTTCCTTGTAGATACCGTTTAAAACCCACTGGCTCCCCGTACCGAATTTATATACTCTAACTAGATCTAAACCCTAAACCCTAAACCCTAAGCAGCTCTATCTTGTAAGACAGGCTCAACATTGACCGCAGGTCGACGCCAAGACCGGCAACACCAAAAGAAGCAAGAAAGCAACGAGGTGGATCTGGAAGAGCTGCTTTTTTGGTTTTCCCTCGTGGTTTGTGACCCAAACCCACCGTTTCCCTCGTAAAAAGCTTCCTTACCAAAGCCAACTTTTTGCTAGGGAAAAGTTCGTGTCCAGTCTAAGGATAACCAACTTTTTGCAAGGATAAAGTTGCCTTTTCTGACCAAACCCCCAACTTTTACGAGGGAAAACCAAAAACTAAAACCAAGTTGTTTTTTCCCCCTCGCAAAAACATGGCTTTTTCCAACATTTACCTTGCGGCCCGGGGGCACAGGATTCCCGGTTTGGGGCAGAGGAGTCTGAGGCCGGAGCACATCTCGTCGGTGGATGAAGTCGTAGCACCTTAAGCGCTTAGGGTTTAGGGTTTAGGGTTTAGGGTTTAGGGTTTAGGCTTTAGGGTTTAGGGTTTAGGGTTTAGGGTTTAGGGTTTAGGGTTTAGGGTGGGGTTTAGGGTTTAGGGTTTAGGGTTTAGGGTTTAGGGCTGAAACGGCTCCCAAACCTTAAGGCCTGAAACCTAAACCCCAGAGCCCGAATTTCTGAACCAGAGTGTTGCACAACTGCGGTTCAGGGTCTCGGTTGTGCATTCAGGGTTGGGAGATTCGGTTGGAGGGTTTAGGGCTTAAGGGTGGGATAAGCCTTTAGGATTAGGGTTAGGGTTTGAGGTCCCAGCAAAGCCCTCAGCCAACCCAAACCAAGGAAACTCGGCGCGCCACTGCAGCGCGGATCGGGTGACGCAGGGCCTCGTTGTGTCGACCTCGTCTCGCGGCATTCAGGGTTCTGGGGTTTCGGGCTTTTTTGCGGCCGAAGCTCCTGTCTTATGTATTACTTTGTCAAGCAACTTGGGTGGCTATTGGAGAACTTCAGCGAAGTAACGCCATAAGAAACAACATGGTTTTCTGCGCATGCCACATTATTTCAGCTTGCTTACGTTCCTCAAACGGCAACCCAAGCCCAAAGCCCTCAACCCCGACATGCCCCAACCCCCCACCCCACGAAAACCTACGCTCTTACTAAGCCGGTGACGCACGCCAGCTGGGAAAGCACTTCCTGGGCGTGAGATAACGGGGACGTCTCCATAAGGACGCTCAGGTCTGGGGCTCGCTGTCCAGGGGCTGAAGATTGCGGGGGCAACGGAGCCAGAATTTCGGGATCTCGGACAAGGTTGACACTTTGGGCTTCACTTGTCGCAACCTGCCCTCTCAAAGAGACCGCCGAAACCCTACAAAAACCTTCCCCGAAATCCAGGGGAGTTGTTTCTTCTTGAACGGGGAAAGAAATTTCGAACATGACTTTGTTGATGCTATGGCCGTATCCGTGCCGTGGCGGAGAGCGAGCCCCGCTGAGGGTTTAGGAATGAGGCTAAGAGTGGTTGAGATGGGTTGACTAAAGCATGTACGTGCACGAGAAGAGGTCGCCCCAACATGCAGAACTCGCGCCTACTCAAAACCCTGAAAGCCCAGACGGGAGTTTCCGAAATTGGGGGTACCTTATCCCCTATTGAGGGAGTCCTACTTTAAGGGTCCCCCTATTTGCATAAACCCCCAAATATCATCAACCAAACTCCCCCACCAAAAAGGAACCCTAAAAACCTAAACTACAAAAAAGCCCCGAAACACCCAGCTCCCCAGATGGCTAAGCCCTAAACCCTAAACCCTAAACCCGAAACCCTAAACCCTAAACCCTAAACCTCCTCTCTGCGTGCTGAGAAAGCGGCCCAGAGTGGCCACTTGGTGGTGAAGAGGTCGAAGAAGGGCGACCTCGGAGCCCAAGCCCTCAAGACAGCCCGCAGGGTCTAAGGGGTTTAGGGTTTATGGTTTAGGGTTTAGGGTTTAGGGTTTAGGGTTTAGGGTTTGGGGTTGAGGGTTGAGGGTTGAGGGTTGAGGGTTGAGGGTTGAGGGTTGAGGGTTGAGGGTTGAGGGTTGAGGGTTGAGGGTTGAGGGTTGAGGGTTGAGGGTTGAGGCGTTTAGGGTTTAGGGTTTATAGGTTGTGGGTTGAAGGATTTTTTGGAGTTTAAGGGATTAAGGGTTTGAAGGGTTTAGGGGTTTTAGGGTTTTAGGGTTATCAAGACAGCCCGAAGGGTCTAAGGGTCTAGGAACTTTGTGGGTTGTGGGCTTAAGGATTCAAAAGTGTAAGGGTGTAAACGTGTTGGGCTTTTTTGGGGGTGTTAGGGGTTAAGGGTTGAAGCGCTTCGGGGTTCGGAGTATACTGTGGGTTGAGGGGTTGGGCGTTTAGGGTTCGGGGCTTGCAGTAAGGAGAGCCATGTAAGAACATGATATGACGATCGCAGCAGTAACGATGATAGCAATAGAGGTAACAATACCAACAGCGGTCCCAATCTCAACTGAGGTACTTATAACCTACCCATTAAAGAAGCTGGCTGCTCTTGCTCTTGCAGTCCAGAAGAGCCGTGTTGTCTGCTGCTTTACAGCTGCCCATGAACCACGCGAACCTTTAGTTTTGGCGACCCGGTGTTGCAGTCTTGTGCCCCCAGTTGGCAGCTTCATCATCATCTGTCATGTTTTGGGGGTTCTTAAGCAACTAGTAGGTGATAACGATAATAGTGGTGATCATGATGACGATGACTGCGATGATGGTTGAAGTGGTGGTGGTGGCGGAAGTGGTAGTGGCAGTTGCTAGTGGCAGTGGTGGTGCTAGCTACGTTGTTGATGGTGGTGCTTGTGCAACTTTAGGTGATGATGAACAACGACAATCATGACAATAAGAAATAATGAGAATAGTCGTACGAAGAAGAATGATCACAGTAAGATCAATAATCATGATCGGTACAAACGGGTTCACTGAGGCCAGCCACCAGTTTAGCTTGGACGTAACCCATGCATTGATGGTGTCCTGGTGGACACGCAAAAATTCCGCGAAAGCTCAGAAAGGGTGCAACAGCGCGACTCCGATCAGCTACCACAAAAAAATATGAGCAGGGCAGGCAAGGACAAGCCGTTGTTGATGGTTTTTGCACGCGTTGTCCAAAGGAGGGAGGGCATGTGCGAAATCTCCGGCTCCCGAACCACGGCCAACGGATGACCCGTCCATGGCCGGAAATGGAACGGAAGCTGAAAGTTTTGCCACAACAAAGCTTTATCAAGGCCTCGATTCATACACAGAAAAGTGAGCAGACCGCATGCACAGCAGGGTGAAAAAACATGCCAAAGTGGGCCTGCTCGTTGAAGCAGGACAGCCCATACCCTAACCTTAAGGCTAAGCGACCGAAAAAGGGGGGGTAGTACCCACGCCGCATTGGGAGCTTGAGACTTAAACCCATGCACCCGCGCAACAAGCGGAGCCTGTGCTGAGACGATCAGGGAGTAGACCATGTTCTGCGTGTCTTTCAGAGAGCCCTGGTGGGCAAGTACTATGGGGGCCTGAATAGTTAGAACACGGTGTTGGGGTGATACTACAGTATAATGGTAGAGGGGCCATAAGGGAAATGCCATTAGTAATTATTCCGACCCCTATAGTACTCCAGAAAGGCTTTGAGGGCGGCTTCGGTTTACGGTTGAGGGTTTGGGGCTTAGGGAAGGTGCCCGACACCCTGAAACGCGAAGCCTGAATTCTCCAACGACGGAATGAGAAGTCCAGTGGTTGGCGCATATGCTGAAAACAGTAAACTTGGGACTCGGACAAAAGGGCAGCTTGTTAAGACCAAACGACCAAAACCAAGAAGGGCAGCTCACAAGTGAGTACCATACGGTCATCATGAGAACAATAAAGATAACGGTGCGGTTGGTAAGAGTGCTTTCTGCTTGTTGCGAGCCTGTTTATGTTGAGGGTGCAGGGGTGCTCTTGTTTTGCTACAGGTGCGGGGCTGCGCTTTCTTGTCTTTGCGGCGGGGGCGTCCACGACACAATCTCTACAGCAAAGATTGCAATAACCGGGCCCTGTGACTTTCGATGTTCAAGAGACATTGACTGTATGGCCAGACCTACGGAGTAAATAAAGAATAGCAACAATGGGGAAGATATGAAAACAGGACCCATGTTGGCTACCGAACACACAAAAAAGCGAGGTAAGAAGGCGCAGCAAACAACCTGATCCTAAACCCTAAACCCTAAACCCCAAACCCCAAACCCTAAACTCTAAACCCTAAACCCTAAACCCTAAACCCTCAACCCCGGTTTGGGGGCCTGGTAGGTTCCCCTCGTGCGGACCGTGTCCAAGGCCAGGGACAGCAGGGCCACGGCGTTCCCTCCCGGGTTCAAGGGTTTAGGGTTTAGGGTTTAGGGTTGAGGGTTTAGGGTTTAGGGTTTAGGGTTCAAGGGTTTTGGCATTTAAGCGCTCAGCGTTGAGGGCACAGCGAAGATGGCCCTTAGAACCCGCTGCAAAATATTCCTAAGTATACTCTTCTTAAACCCAACAAGGGAGAAGGTTTGTGTAGACGGGCTTTAGAATCTAGAAGCTTAAGATCTGGAGGCTTTTGGGGTTCAGGATGCAATTCAGGAAAGCCCTAAACCCTAAACCCTAAACCCTGAACCCTAAACCCTTGGGTCACTGGTTCTTGGCAGGGAAATGGGTAATTTGTAACCTGGGTTCCCAAGGACTACATAAAGGGATGTATCTACTTTGTTCATGTATGTCACTCCTTCCGGACCCGGCTGCACTTTCTAACCCGACAACTGTCGACCTCTCTACTTCTACTGCACACTCCCTGGAACCTTAGGAATTCTGGCAACAAAGCCTTCAAGATCCCTCAAAGCCCAAACACGAACCTTCCCACCTCCCCGCCTCCTCACCTCCCTGCCTCCCTGCCTCCCCACCACCTCACCTCCTCACCTCCTTACCTGCCTCCCCACCTGCCCTCCGCTCCCCTGCCCTCGGGCCGCCGCCTACGGGACAGCCAGACCCGCGCCGCAGCGCCAGAAGGTGGACCCCGGGCGCCAACATCTGCCGACTTTCAAAGGTCTGGGGCTCCCAACAAAGAAACCTGAACCCCAAACGAAAAATGCTTGGAGGCTCATGGTACTTATTAACCAATTATAACTGCACTTAAAACCCACTTGTAAGCCCCTTAAGTGCCCCAATGGGGTCATAAGTACAGTTACAAGTACAGGTATAATTGGTTACTAAGTACCCTGAACCTCCAAATAATCCCTCTCCAGGTTTGGTTTAGGGGTGAGGGGTGCAGGGCGTCGACGCATCATGGTTGAGGGTTCAGGTTGAAGGCCAAACCCCACACGAAGATGGTGGATGGCTCGGGAAGCACCTCTGCAGTGCTTGTCTGGGTAGGCAGTCTTGAAAGGTTTCTGATCTGAATGATCCACGGCATACCTCTTCTACTCGGAGGCTCTCAAACCCCAAGCCCTAAACCGTCTAAACTCACGCAATCTGTCGTGATGTTGATGCAAGTTGGGGATGCAATTGCCCACCTGCCTCAACAGCACCAATGCCTGGATTCCCAAAGCCCTGCTTGAAGGCTCACGGCCAGTGACGTATACCATGGCCCTCAACTGAGGTACTTCTCACTTACAGCCCGATTTCGAAAAGACACTGACGAGCAAGGCCCTTGAGTGTTCAGGGTTGAGCGCAGCTTCTTAGCTTGACCGTCAGCATTCGAGATCTTCCCTGGAATTTCAGTTGAGGGCCAATTCCTCCGACTACCGGCTCCTCTCGGCCACGACATGATCGCGACATGGAACGCGGAAACATTCACACAATATGCGATTGCGGCGCGGTAGTTAGTCGCGTTGTGGATATCCGAATCGCGCCCCTGAAACCCCAAATCCTAAACCCTGCATCCTAAACCCTAAACCCTTAACCCTAAACCCTAAACCCTCCAAAGGGAAGAGCAACCGTCCGCGTGGCCTCGCCCTGCGAGTGCGCGTAGAGCAAGGCGTCACGGTAGTTCAGATCCTCAAGGCCGGGTTTTTGGGTTTCGGGTTTTAGGGTACAGGGTTTAGGGTTTAGGGGTTCTAAAGAGGAGGCATTTTACAGACCCCTCAGCCCTAAACCCTAAACCCCAGTTACCCATGCCACCCATCCTCAAGGAGTTCTAAAGATAGGCATCTCAGAGACCCCTAAACCCTGAACACTAAACCCCAAACCCTAAGCCACTTCCCCTCACGAAGGAAGGACATAGGGTGAGTGATTCGCCCCCGACCCTTGACTAAAACCTTCATCCCTTGATGGCCTTGCAGATCACTGGCTCTTACGCTGGGTCAGACGTTCTTTCGAAGGTTCATGAAGAGGGCGATAGGCGTAGGAGTTGCAATCAAATCTCTTCTTGACACCCGAACCTTGAAGGCCGAAGCACTCCATTATCCGCGAAGAGTCCCGATCTACTCCATGTCTTGGGGGCTCTTTTTATGGAAGACTTCTTGGGATTCTTTTACAGGTTAGGGCCCTGGAAGGTTCACGGGTAGTTGTCACTAGCACTTCTGGGCACCCTGAGCAAAGTCCATGGCAAAGGTTGCCCAACAGCAAGACTTATTGTGACCCCTGAGCCTTCAAACAGACGCCCGAAACTCAAACCCCTGAACATTAAACCCCTCGGCCACGAAACCCGCAGGCCCTATGGTTTTAACCTGAAAAACTCCCCGTCCTCCTCGCTGTCGAGCTCGTCGCACTCGTTGGGCCGTTGCTGCAGCCCCGGATACTTCATGGGCCTGGAGAAAGGATGTGAGTTCGGATGTTGCGTCGAAGGGTTAGGTCTGAGAGAGCTTAAGGTTCGGGGTCGTGGGGTTCAGGGACTGGGGGGTGAAATTTTGAGGGTTTATGCATCTGTTAACAGAGGTGGTGCCATGTGAACTAGAACTTGCAGGCTTCTACATCGTCGCCTACTCCAGGATGAGAAGATAAGCGAGGGCTCTGGAACATAAAGCCGGTGACGGCTGAAACGCCACCGGCAAGTTGCATTTTACCAGCTGCAATGAGGCCAAAGCCTAAACTTGGGATGTTCCCCTTCTACTAGCAGTCCTTAGCAGGGATTCTACTAGCCGGTACTGTAATTCCTAGTTACGGACTCTTAGTATACGGGGGAACATCCCAACCCGTGCTACGGGCCACGCTCGCCCCCAAACAGCCCACAACCCTAAACCCTAAACCCTAAACCCTAAGGAAATGGGAGGGCTTGCCCCGAACCCCGGCCTATCATCCATCACGTCGATCAGCTTCTTGCCGACCTCGGCGCTCCCTCGAATCCCTCAAGCCCCACACCCCAAAAACCCCAAAAGATGCTTGGGTTTGGGGTTTGGGGTTTAGGGTTTAGGGTTTAGGGTTTAGGGTTTAGGGTGTAGGGTTGCAAACCCCGAACCCCAAACCCTAAAGTCCCAAAGGCTAGCACCAAATCACGTGCCCACCGCACGTGCGCCCTACCGCCAGCAGCAGGGCGACGACGCGGCGAGTTCGAAGAAGCAGACAGAAGCCGTGACCTTTCGGGGCTTCAGGGCAGCAACGTTGCGCCGAAGAGCCTGCAACAGCAACAGCTGCTCGCATGCGTTGTTGCGTGACCAAACAGCAGGTATCTTGATGGCCCCAGTACCGCACGCCATGGCCGCTAGAGGTTATGAAAGACAGGCTTTCCGACGACCACATGTAGAAGAAGTCGGCCCTCCACCGCGTGCTGCGTCGACTTCGGTGCCCCCCATGGCCTTGTGTCCCGCTTGTCGTGTGTTTCTGTGCGCACGGTCTGATTTTTTTTGCATGGCCCACTGAAGCATACACGCCGCCAGCGCGGGTCCATGGGGCCTCTTGTGGAAGCTGCCGCTGAGGAATACCAGCCCGCTCTTGAAGTGTGGCCACTGGGGTTCTAGGCTTTCTGAGGTTGGTGCGACGAGCCGGCCTTTCACTGCATGAGTCTGGGTACGCCCTGTGTGGGGCTCTGAAGCCCGCTCTCTAACGACAGTAAAGCCCCAAGCCGTCAACCGTCAGAGGCATGTGAAGTAGGGCTTACATTCCTTGTATCCTCACAAGGACACCCAACATATACACTCGAAAATATCAACAAGGAACCTTCTATATACACTCACCAAAAATAGCAATATAATCCCTGCTTCATGTAAGCTCCGGGCCAGGTGGACCTGCTTGAAGACCGGCCTGTGTTGCAAACACTTTCACTTAGGGCGACTGCTGAAACCCTGCGCCGAGGCCTCTTAGAAGCCCTGAAATTATCGAAATTAAGGCGTTTCTCAAGAAGGGTCATACCCTAAATCCCAAACGCTCAGTCCAAGAGCAAGCAGGTAAATGTTCGCAAGAACATCAGATGTGCTTGGGACACCTGCATGCAAAGTCAAGGACCATGCCACAAAGCGGGCTTTCAACTTAAACTCTGAGCCCCTGTTGAAAAACCCTAACCGCCAAACCCCCTTAACCACAAATCCTAGGCGCCTAGGCCCCAACCTCGTAAACTCCCAAACTATGAAACCTTCAACCCGAAACCCTAAACAAAAACCCCAAACCCGAACGCGTTTAGGTTGAGGGAGGGCGCACCAGCCGCCGGCCAGCAGTGCTGCCCAGGAGGAAGTGAGAAGGTCTAGGGCTCCTTCAACGGCAACTTCCTTTTTTGACAGTTTCGGGGTGCGCCAAGATTCATGGTCCCGTAGCATGAGCCCTTAGAAGGGTACTCCTTATATGCCCCTTATACAACCTGCACAAGTTAAGGGCCTGTACATCAGAACCCAAGGGGCCATATCAAGGTCCCATGAAACTACCCTCAAGAGTGTTCTTCCAACCCGAAACCCTAAAACCCTAAACCCCTGAACTCTAAACCCCAAACCCCCTATGGCTCCCGGGCGTGGCTGCGCGGTTTCAAGGTTCGGGCGTCGTTCATCGAAACTTGCGAGGCTTGAGCTCCGTCCGATGACAACTCGCCCTATGCCCTTAACCCTAAACCCACCCTAAACCCTAAACCCTAAGCCCTAAACCCTAAACCCTACACCCTACACCCTTGCCCCCTCCCACTCTTGCAAGGGCTTGCGGATCTGCATTTGGCAGCGTCCTAAAGGGTTTAGGGTTTAGGGTTTAGGTTTGGGCTTTGAAGTCCTCAGGGTTGGGGAGTGCTGGCATTAAACCCACGAACCAGGCAAGGGCTCTCGGGTGTATGCTGAGGGCTGCAAGGCTTGGAGGGAGAAAGTTACAGAACGAAAACCCCCAGCACCACCAGTCCATCCCCTAAGAGCCCGGGCGCTCAGAATGCACCGGATCTCAACTCTCAGCCCCAAATCCACATGAAGCGCATTTCGGGTTAGGATCGGAACCTCCAGCCAGCCCGAACCCTGTGGGCTAAGGCACCTGAGTGGGCGTTGAACGTGTCCAAGAAGTCGAGGACGTCGAAGTCAGGGTCGTCCGCGTTGAACCTGATGCTGCTGAGTTGCGGGGGCCTACCAACTCGAAGTTCTATCCCCCTGTAGAAGCTTCACCCCACTACGAATCAGTAAGTTCCGTTCTCCAGCTCTTCATCCAAGCACAGAACGAACCCCAAGGCCCTGGAACGCTAGGAATCGCAGGTTTCTGGTCTCTGGGGGACCCTGGTCATTTTGGGCTTTGGGGGCTCTAGGGTTTAGGGTAGCAGCTGCCGTGGCAGAAGCTCACCCTGGGGCTGTTCTTCAAAAGGGAAGTTAGGTACTTCCTCGCTTATAAGAAATAAGAAGGAAAGTTTTGGTGCCCTCTTACAGGCCATCTGCAGCCGGCTTTCGATATGAATGAAAGGATGCTGCTGCTTTAAGGAGCTTAAACAAAGAAACAGACCAGGATCCCTAACAGCAACTCAGAAAAAGGGCCCCAATTTGTACCCCCTTCCCCCCCTTGTCATCACAACGAACCTTGTTTCCTCAGATCCTGAGCCGTTCGCTGCAGCGGGTCCGAGTATCCGAAAGACAGCAGCCTCTCGCGGTCAGACGGGCTTGGTCCAGCGATCAAGAAGGGTTCAGGAACCCTAAACCCTAAACCCTAAACCCTGAACCCTGGGCTTGAAACTTGAGAGTTGGGATCCAGGCACCTTGGTCTGGAGTCCCAATCTGAACAGCAGGTCCTTCTGAAAGGGTACGCTGATCTCTGGAGAATCCCTAGGACCCGCACATCCTACAAGCCCTAGAACCCGTACAGCACAAACTATAACCCCTACAAACCCTGTAACGCCTACAGACACTGTGAACCCGATAAACCCTGAAACCCTAAACCCCCGCCATCAGCCCCAGACCCTGCACCGACTGAAGGCTGAAGAGAAAAAGTGACTAAGTGTGCCTTGGGCTCAGGGATGAAGATGAGTTGCCAACCCGAAATCCCGAACGCTATGCAGATATTTCACGCAGCGAAACTTAGGACATTTTAAAGTTTAGAGTTTAGAGCTTAGGGTTTACCCCCCGGTAGATGTGGCAGGTTGTTGAGGGGGGGTTGGGGTTGCGCATCGGCGCAAAGGAGTAAACCGCCGCAGCCGCGGGGCTGCACTTGAAGGTCCATAGGTTTTAGGGTTTAGGGCTTAGGGTGTAGGGTGTAGAGTTTAGGGTTTAGGGTTTAGGGTTTAGGGTTTAGGGTTTAGGGTTTAGGGTTTAGGGGTTTAGGGGTTTAGGGGTTTAGTGTGGGGGTGGGAGGGGATACCAGTGTTCACCATCCATAGGCTGGGCCTCAGCGCGATGATGCCCAAAATGCACTCGAAGTTCACTCCCTTCAGCCTTCAGCTGCGGGGAGCTTCTGGGGGGTTTAGGGTTTAGGGTTTAGCGTTTAGGGTTTAGGGTTTAGCGTTTAGGGTTTAGGGTTTAGGGTTTAGGGTTGAGGGTTTAGGGTTTAGGGTCTTTGTTTTAGTATTTGGGCGCTTTTTGGGGGGACGGCACACGAAACGCTCGATGAAGAGACAGGAGAACCCTAAACCCTAAACCCTAAACCCTAAACCCTAAACCCTAAACCCTAAACCGGAGGCCTACGTCACCTGAAGTACGGCTCTTATAACCCTACTTGGAACTGCTCATGAACCTTCAGGAAATCCACAAGCAGCTGGCCAGCCGCTTCGATGGCCCTCATTGGGTGTGGGGTGTCGAAGGAATAGACAAAAAAGGTCTAGGGTCAGGAGTCAAGGGGTTAGGGCTTGAAAGGCTGTGCATTGAGGACAGGGGTTGCTTGAAGGTTCATTCAGGAATAACTTTCCTATCTTTGGCCTCTTTGAAAGGGCCATTAATAGTACTACGCCTATCGCCCCTTCAGAACCCGTACAATTTACAAGTATCTCCTCACGTGCACGCCATTTAGTACATTTAATATTGTGCCCGTGCTAGAGTTCCACTAGCAGCTGCGCAAACGATAGGCACGGAAAACAGCCACTCCAATGACTGCAAGATGGGATGCAAAGAGCAGCTGTCACTGCTGCCATACGAACCAAGAAAAATCTCTGATTTTCCCAGCCTGCATCTGCCGAGGTCCGAGGTCGTTGGGTTGAGCAGCGTTTGCTGTTGTAGCGGCTCATAGTGTCATAGTTGCTATTGAAATTTAGCCAGCGCCAGCTCCGTGCTGCGAACGGCTCCAGCTGGGCAACTCGCCGTCCCCATCAGAATGAAGGCCGTTTTCCGCGCATCCGCCGACAGACCGGCTGCAACAATGCTTGTAGCTGCAGAGCAATCAGAAAAACCTCTGGGGGCTTCCTTGTTCGCAGATCGAGGGGATTCCAGACCACTTCCCTGAACTTGCGATCTTCGCCGCCAGGTCTTGTGCGGACGTGCTGAGAATTCAAGCTGCAAGTCCTTAAGAAGACCAAGGCCGAGAAGGAGCGCCGCAACCTTGGCGGGAGTGGTCCAAAAGGATAGGACGAACGGAGATATGACCTGATATGAACAACTCCTCAAGGTTGCAGCCAATAGCCTGGCATTCAAGAGTGGCGTTGACGAAGCGGTACATCTCCCGCGTTCGGCTTGCTGCCCTCATGGCCTCCGACCATGCGAATTCCTCGGCTGGCGCGGGCAATCTTGCACGTACATCTCCAAACCTTCGCCCAGCTGCCTTGCGCAGTTGCGCTTAAGGTAAGATAGGCAGCCGGAAAGGATGTTGAACGCTGGCCGCAGCACAATAATGGGATTGCCACACAGCCCGCAGCCACCAACGCCGATGGGCTTCTCCGAACTCCGAAACGCGACTTCTGCTACCGGTGTGTTCTTCCGGCTTGTTCGCCCTTTTTCCGCCGCCCTGGCCTTCTCGAGGATGACAAAGCCAGACTGCTTGGCGGCTTCTCCATCGTGTCCGGGTACCTCTCCACGAGCAGAACGTACTTCGCGGCAGCTATTCTTCAGCATGGGAAAACACAGCTGTTCGTTGGTTCGGCTTCGCTTTTGGAGGTGTGTAAGGCACTGCGCGTGGCCCGCGATCACGCGCGTGCGCACCTGACACGCTTCACGGATGAAGGTGCTCTTGGAGAGGTGGCACTCATAAGCGGCCCACCTGTGGGCATTTTTGCTGGCCTCGAAGGCGCAGCAGCAAACGGGGACTCGTGCCGCCCTACGCAGGCTCCGGCTTCGGTCCCGGCTGCGGCATGGCATGGCGGCACGGGCGGGCTAGAGCCCGCGAGTTCTACATGTACAAGCCATTTGAAATCTAGCAGCTTCAGAGCCGGAGTCTGCCAGAAAGGGCCATAAACAAAGAACTGGTCAAGGGTTAACCTTACTTTCTCACGGTACTTTAAATCTGTATGCTTCTCAGAGTACGGGTTTCAGGGTGAAGGATCGGTACGGTCATGATACTAACAACTTACCCCGGACCCCACCTACCCACCCAGTGAGCTCGGGCGGCGGCCAGGACCAGTTGATGAGATCCTGCACCTCGTGAAGAGGCTTCAAAGCAGTTAATCAAAGTTTAGGGTCTGGGATCTGCTTAAACCCAAGACCGTTAAGTTCAGGGTTTTGCTGTTTTATAGGGTCAGATCCCAAGCTCAGTCTTGGGTTTCATGGCTCTGCGGCTGCAGGTTCGCCAAAGAGTGAATCGACCCCAAGCACATAAAACTTAAAAACTGGCCCTACCCATGAAGCTGTTGATTCCGAACACCCCCCAAACCTTACCCCCTGAAACCCCCAACCCCTCGCATCCTAAGCCCGGAAGCAACAGCGCCCTACAATAGGATCCAAGGAAAGCAAGATGTAGACCCGAAAGCAGCGGGGGAAACCTCCCGGTGCTCCGCCAGCGCCAGCAAGGAGTCCTTGGCGGCAAATGTGGGGTTTAGGGTTTAGGGTTTAGGGTTTAGGGTTTAGGGTTTAGGGGGACTTAAGGGATCGGGTTCCTGAATCCCTATGCATGGCTTATTGGGGGGTAGATACGGTAGACATAATCAGGTAGCGGATGTCCGAGAAGGTTTTGGGGCTTAGGCTTTGGGCCTGGAGCTTTGGGCTTTAGGGCTAAGGGCTTGAACATTGAGGCTATACTCCCCTTAGAACCTTAATAAAAATAATGTTTACTTAATAAAAATATTATTTGTTCATATCCTCTTGGGTTTTATAGGAACAAAAATAGAGAAAACATTTCCCAAGGGGGATATAGGAGGTGTAGTTCGGGCTTTCTGTCCCTTGACGTCGGGGGCTCGGGCTCGGGGGCCTACCAAGCTGCTTCATCATGCTGCGCCTCTCCGAAGCCGCGTCCCCAAAATCAGAAAACCCTGAAACCCTAGAACCCTAAACCCTAAACCCTAAACCCCAAAAATCCCAGAACCCTAAACCCTGAACCGCACAAGCTCCGAAAGAAAAGTAGCAAAACAGAATTTCGACCGCCGGCCTCCTCCATATCCACATGAAGTAGGGCTTATATCAGTATGTACACTCACCGATACAAAAAAGGAACCTGGTATACACTCACCACTATCTATGAAACAAAAAAACACAAAAACAAAATAGTAATAATAATGAGAATAAAGAATATATGAAGAGAGAGAGATATATATATATACACAAAGAGGCTTCATATGAGTCCAAGAGGCATCCTCTTCGTTCTCTCGGTACACGTAGTGCCCGATCTTGGTGCGGATCTCCTCGGGGCTGCTCTGGAAGTCAACTTCTCCGTTGCCAGCATGAGGGAAACCATACCCCTTTAGGGTGCAGGGTTTAGGGTTCAGGGTTCAGGGTTTAGGGTTTAGGGTTTAGGGTTTAGGGTTTAGGGTTTAGGGTTTAGGGTTTAGGGTTTAGGGTTTAGGGTTTAGGGTTTAGGGTTTAGGGTTTAGGGGGCGCCCATGTCCACCCCCGAAAAATGGCCAACGACAAAAACCCTAACATCAACCCAGTCTCTGCCCACTTGTGCTGATTGTTGGAGTGCCGGCAGTACGTGCACCTCACACGCAGCAAGGCACAGAGCAGCAGGAGCTTCAGGGACTTGTTTTCAGAGGGTTTTTTGGGGTTTTTAGGGCTTTTAGGGTTTTTTGGGCTTTAGGGTTTTTAGGGTTTTTAGGGTTTTTAGGGTTTTTAGGGTTTTTAGGGTTTTTAGGGTTTTTAGGGTTTTTGGTTTTAGTTTGTTGTTTTGGCTTTGCTCGGGGACTTTCAGGGATTTTGGATATTGCTAGGGGATTCCAAGGGATGTTAGATGCTTTTCGGGATGTTAGGGTTTGTGATTCTGGGTTCAGGGCTTTGGCGAACGAGGGGGGCTCAGGGGCGGGATGGGCTTCCAGCAGGGTGTTGGGCTCAACCCTAAACCCTAAACCCTAAACCCTAAACCCTAAACCCTAAAAGGGCTCCGGGCCTTGGGGGCTCCTTGTCCGGGTTTTGGTTGGCTTAGGCAGGCGCCCCAGAGCCATGACTCCAACCTCGGAACCCGAAACCCTAAACCCTAAACCCTAAACCCTAAACAATAACCCTAAACCCTTAAACCCTAAACCCTTAAACCCTTAACCCCTGAAACCCTTCAACCCTTAATCCCTTAACTCCTTTACCCTAACCCCCCCAAAACCCAAGGCCCTAGATCCCAGGATCCCCGTAGCCTACCAGGACCACACCCCAACCTCCAGATCCAACATTCCTGTAACCCAAAACTCGACACCCCCGATGTCAAAAGACTCCAGAAGCCGAAAACGTTAGGGTTTTGGGCCGTAGGGTCTCTAGGCGGTGCAGGGTGTTAATAGGGTATCAAATTCGGGTTTCAATTTTCAATAAGGTTGGAGTAGGGCTTAGAGGTTAGATGCTTGAATTGGGCTTTAATTGGAGGTTCATGGTACTTATTAACCAATTATATAACTGTACTGATAACCCACTCATAAGCCCCTTAAGTGCCCCAATCGGCTCGACAAGGGTTATAAATACAGATATAAGCGCACCTATACTTGGCTCATAAGTACCATGAACCTCCAAGTATGAGTCCTTACAAAAAGGACCCCGTATGTACCCCTTATACACCCTAAACCCTAAACCCTAAACCCTCAAAACCCTAAACCCTCGAAACCCTCAAAACCCTAAACCCCAAACAAGTATTGGGTCTGGGAGGGCTTGAAAACACCTCGGAGAATCTGGGGGCTGCTGCTGGCCATCGCACTCCGATCTCTCGGCCATGAAGCTGTAGGTCTTGGAATACTCCTCGTGTTTAGGGTTTAGGGTTTGGGGTTTAGGGTTTAGGGTTTAGGGTGTAGGGTTTAGGGTCTGGGGTTTGGGGTTTAAGCGGGTTTTGAGGGTTTAGGGTTTGGGTCCTCCCCGAGCTAGAAAACGTGCTTTAGGGGTTGAAGGGGGCTCGAGGGTTTTTGGGTTTCCTGGACTGTCCTGAACCCTACCCCTCGAGTCCAGCCACCATTTTTAACTCACGCGCGCGAGCATCGCGACGGAAAATCGAGAATGCGACAACCCTGCTGTCTGGGGACTTCTCAGCCACATCCGAGGGGCTGACTTAAACCGCCCAGCCTACCTCCTCGCTCCTCCGTTCAAGCCCAAACCCTGCGCCCATCCGCAGAAAGCCGGGTCATGAAAGAAGAACCCTAAACCCCAAACCCTAAACCCTAAACCCTAAACCCAAGAACTCGAGGTCGGGCCACTCGAGAAGTCTCAAGACGACAGCCGGGTAAACATTATCAACGTGAAAGGGCTCTTGAGGGTTCGGCTTCAGGACTCGTGGGGGCTTACTTAGGGTTTAGGGTTTAGGGTACAGGGTTTAGGGTTTAGGGTTTAGGGGTTAGAGTCAGGTTTCGTGCCCAGTCTCAGGCCAAGTTGTTTGACCAACGCGGTGCTTGTAAGCAACTGACTGGGACGCTCCCCCTTTTGCTAACAGTCCTTCATAGGGATCATGATAGCTGCTAAGGACTGTTCATATATAAGTGGGAACATCCCAAGCTACTGAGCTGAGTTGGGTGCATCGGTGGCTTTGACGCGCCAGCGCCTGCCACCCGATGCTGCTGGAGCTGCGGGAGCTGCGGGAGCTGCGGGAGCCTGTCACGCAGAACGATGCTGCAAACCAATGCCCTGAGCCAGGAGGGCCCGCCCAAAAAAAGGAAAGCGCCGAAATCCCATCTGTGCGGACTCTCCCTTTTGCTGTCTCTCTCCCTCCCTCTCCCTCCCTCCCTCTCTCACTCTCACTCTCACTCTCACTCTCACTCTCACTCTCTCACTCTCTCTCTCTCTCTCTCTCTCTCTCTCTCATGGGTACAGCACAACTTAGTCAATCAAACCAAACTGGAAACCTGCGCAAGGCAGCGAAGCCCTCCCTGCGGGTCGCGACCCCTGATCCAAGAAAAGCCTGTAGCCACCGAAAGCCGAAGACCCAAAGCACCCCACAACCACAAAACCAAAAGCTGAACCTAAAACCTGAAACCCCTGATCCCCAAGCCTGAGCCCTAAACCACACCCGCCCCCCCCCCCCCAAAAAAAAAAATAATGAAAAGAAAAAAGAAAACACAATTTAAAAAAAAGAAACAGAACTACAAAAAGACTCAAGACTCCATCACCCCTAAACCCCAAACCCTAAACCCAAAACCCTACACCACCTCACACCGCAAACCACCTCACACCACACCCCAAACCCTGAACCCTAAACCCTGATCCCTAAACCCCAAACCCTAAACCCTAAACCCTAAACCCTAAACCCTAAGCCCGAACCAGGAGAGGGCCTCCCGGTAGCCCCATCGCCTCGGCCGGTGCCCCTGGCAGAATGCCCGCATGGCAGAGGGCTTTAGGGCTTTCGGTACGGTTTAGGGTTTAGGGTTTAGGGTTTAGGGTTTAGGGTTTAGGGTTTAGGGTTTAGGGTTTAGGGTTTAGGGTTTAGGGTTTAGGGTTTAGGGTTTAGGGCTTAGGGTTTAGGGTTTAGGGTTTATGGTTTAGGGTTGGGGTTTAGGGTTTTCGGGTTTTAGGGTTTCAGGGTTTAGGGTTTAGGGCTTTAGGGCTTTCGGGTTGTTGGGTTTCAGGGTTTCAAGGTTTGAAACTAAAGCAAGACCCCAAAAACCCGACACGTCACTCTACAAGTCCTTCGTGCCCCTTCCCCTCCCCTGGGGGTTTACGATGTTACTTACTTGTAAGGGGAACCTTACTATTTGGGGGTCTACATTAGGGGACCCTAAACCCTAAACCCTGAACCCCTAAAACCCTAAAACCCTAAAACCCCAAACCCTAAACCCTAAACCCCAAATCCTAAACCCTAAACCCCGAACCCTAAACCTCATCATCGTAAACCACCACCTGGGACAAGGCTTCCACAGCCGCCGCGGCCGCTGCCTCCGCAGACTCGAGGCAGCCCTGGCCGGGGGGGTTCAGGGGGTTCAAGGGGTTTAGGGGTTTAGGGTTTAGGGTTTAGGGTTTAGGGTTTAGGATTTAGGGTTTAGGGTTTAGGGTTTAGTTCAGGGTTCATGTGTTGGGTGTGGTAGGGCACAGGGCTTAAGGTTTAGGTTGTCGGGCTTTGGGTGGGTGCAGGGTTCAGGGCCAGGGTTTCGGCTGCAACAGAATGGCTTTCCGGTTTTTTTGGTTTTTGTCGCAAGCTGGAGCGAAGGCCCGACTTAAGGGTTCATGGGCAGCGTGGCAAGGCCTCGAAGGACCCGGCGGTGGCCCCGGCCAGGTAGTCGCCCGCAAGGATGAGGTTCCTCAGCTTCTCATCTTGGTCAAGCACAGTGTAGCATGGGGCTTAGGGACTTGAGATATTTGAGGGCGTAAAAGCCCGGCTCGGCTGTTGAGGTGGGTCAGTGTTTAGAAATTAGGTTTTAAAGAAGGGTTCTGGAGTTTCCGGTTCGGGTTTAGGGCTTGAGTTCGGGGGGTTTTGGGGCTTAGGATGTACGGGCAGGGTTTTAGGGTTTTAGGGTTTAGGGTTTAGGGTTTCGGGTTTAGGGGTTAGGGTTTCGGGTTTGGGTTTAGGGGGCTTAGGGTTTAGGCTCCTCGCGCTACCAGGGCGCGGCGCTCCCTCGGCCACGAGGCAGGCCTTGCAAGCGCAAGGCACGTTCTGGGCTTTTGGGTTCAGTTCCAGGGACTAAGGAGGGACCCTTTTAAGGGATCTTTGGGGTTATTTGGGAACTACTCAAGGGCTACTTAGGTATATAGGGTACACAAAGGGGTTAGATAGTGGAACAAGATTAAGGGCCCTTCTAGGGGTCCCTCCTTAGACCCCTCAATTGGCGTGTTGAGTGCTTCGGCTTTGGAAGGGCTCAATCTCGGGGTCCTCTTAAGCATGCTCCTGAAAGTTTACTGCCAAGATGGGCACATAACTTAGGCCAACCGATATCCCCATATGGGGGTCCTCTAAAATAAACCCCCAAATAGTAGGATCCACTTTCAATAAGGACCCCAATAAGGTACCCCCAAATTTCGTAAAGCCCAGGCTTTGTTGCACATGAGGGTCTAGCGTTTAGAGTCATGAACCATACCCTAAACCCTAAACCCTAAACCCTTTGGATCTCATGCTTTTTTTCTTTTTGCATGTTTTCATTCCGCTGGCTCTCCATGTCGTAGATGGCGACAAGGTCACGCAGCTTGGCTTCGTTCACTAAGGAGTTCCTCTATGTAATGCGCCCCTTTCTGTCCCCAAGTACAGTGCACTGCCCTGAAAGGGCCCTACTGTCAGGCAAGAAACGTCTGGCCTAGAGCTGCCGGGCTAATCGAGCTGCAACTCTTGCGATAAGCACCCGAACCTTAACAACAAAAACCTTGGATCTAGGGATCACCCAACCTCCCCAAACGGGTTTCCCCCCCTTCTTCTTTAGGTCTTAGCCTCTTGGCAGCCCTTTCTCGAGCTTAAGGAAGAGCCGAAACCCTAAGCCCTAAACCCTAAACCCTAAACCCTAAACCCTAAACCCTAAACCCTAAACCCTAACCCTAAACCCTAAACCCTGAACCCTAAACCCTAAACCCTAAACCCAAAAAGAAGACCCCCACATCCGACTATGGGGGCCTCAGACCGCGCGTCTGAGGCGAGCGGCCTCTTGACTTGGCACTGGCGCCTTGGGGAACAATTCAGGGGGTGGTTTAGGGTTTAGGGTTTAGGGTTTAGGGTTTAGGGTTTAGGGCTTAGGGCTGGGCAGGGAGGGGCGGAAGGGCGGGAGGGGGGAGGGGAGGCCTATGTTGGGAACCTAAATGAAGTCCCTGCTGGAGTTCTGTCACCCTTAAGGAATCTATGGGGGCTCCAGGACTTGGGCGCCAACTGTAAGCTTCATTAACAACCCCTAATCTTCCTCAACCCCAAACCCGGCACACGAAACCCAGCCCTGAACCCTGAAGCCGAAGATCAAAAAGCCCGAACCTCGAACCACCCCCCAAAAACCTTCTGAGCCGCCAGCCAGTGCACGACTTTACTCTCCAGCACAGCCGCCTGGCTTGCTTTCGAGCTTTTTGGTACATGAATGTAAAAAGTTGGTTCGGAACCGAGCAGTACTCGGGTACACCCGTGATGTTCCCGGCTTAAAGCGCTAGAACTTGTGTTGCTGAGCTATGATGGCAACTGCTGGGCGTCGTGCTTGGGGACCTTCTGGGGAGAAGGAGCCTTTCGACACGTTTAATCCCTACACCTTCTGCACCCTCATCTGGAAAACTCATAAAGAGCAGCTTTGTACACTCCAGGGACAATCCTCTGAACATATCTCTCAAGCATAATTACACCCAAGCATCTACTGAAATATCTACCCAAATACCTACGCAACTCCATCGGGGAGCGGGCCTGGCTTAACTTTCGTGTACCAGCACAGCTCGTACAACAGGTCACCGGCTTTGAGCGGTTGGGCGGGGGCCCTAAGCCCTAAACCCTAAGCTCAAAACCCTAACCCTAAATAGCACTGGTTTTTCGTGTTTCGGGGGCCTGGCCGGGCCTCCAGCTGAGCAACGGGCATCTTCAACAGCTCGGCCAAGCGCTCGGTCAAGCGTTGCCTGACTAAACCCTAAAGCCTAAAGCCTAAAGCCTAAACCCTAAACCCTAAACCCTTAACCCTAAACCCGAGCTCAAGTAGGGTTCAGGGCTTAGGGTTTGTAATATGATATTAGGGTTAAGGGTTGAGGGTTCCGGGGGTTGAGGGTTAAGGGTTGAGGGTCTGGCGTGAGGAACAGGTGCTAGGGACTTGAAGCCCTGAAGCCTAAGAAGCTGCTTCTAAACATCTCGAAGAGGCGCCTTGATAATTCTAGGGGGCATGGGCACTCGAGCTCCTGGAAGTAAGCGCCCCAAACCACGAGGGCTTCCCTAAACCCTAAACCCTAAACCCTAAACCCTAAACCCTAAACCCTTCACACTTGGGGCACTTATTCGTGGTCGGACACCAAAGCTCCCTGAGTCTGCGAGGCCCTTCACGCCCGAAGGACGCCGGTGCCTGAATTGTGCAAGGCCGGAGCAACCTTAACCCTGCAACCTTAGGGTTGAGGGTTTAGGGTTTAGGGTTTAGGGTTTAGGGTTTAGGGTTTAGGGTTTAGGGTACACCCGAAATCCCTCAACACCCTAAATACCCAGCTGCCCCTTTTGCCCCCAAGAGCCCACCCGAAAGGGGGCCTTCCCAGCACTGCGGGTGGCGTGTTCTGTCTCTTGGCCAACTGAAGGTTTTCCGCTGCGAAGGCTGGCGAGCTATGAAGGACGACCTCTGCAAAAGATGCAGAACTCAGAAAGAGGGTTGGGAACCCTGAACCCTGAGAATCCTAAACCCTGACAGCTCAAAGCCAGAGCCTGCAAACAAAACTTCGACCTCTCGGAGATCTCCGGGAAGGTGCCGGGACGTTCGGACAACGGACAAGAGTTTCGGGTTTAGAGCTCAAAGTGTCGGCTTCACTTTGCAGCCTTAGGCGCTTGAATTTCAGGGCCAATCGAGATCAGGGCACTGTTGAGTTGATCCCGCAAGGAAAGTGCAGACTTAGCGGCCGCACAGCCGCCTCGGGCTCGGCGTCCTTTGACCTAGGCAGAACGGTTCGACCCTGATTTCTGAAACACGCGCCCTGAATGAACCCTGGGAGAGCTTTGCAAGCCTTTAACACTTTTAACCCCGAAGCCCCAATGCCCTGCACTGAACTTAACTCACACTAGCAAAGCCAGGGATACACCATCGATATCCGTGTCAAAGGTCTTTCGTATGCCCTGTGAGTGAGCACTCAGGGATACTCGTGTAACATCCTGCACTCTTAGGTCTTCTGCAGGTGTGGGCTGGGATCGTGTGAACTTCAGGCGAGACAGGAATACCCGGCAAAATGCTCCCGAGAATTCTCTGCGCGATCATTTTGGCGGTGGAACAACATAAAGGATGCTCTGGAAGCACCACGCGAAGGGTTTAGGGCTAGGGGCCTCACAAAGGGGATACGAGTCAAGTTACCTCTCAAAGAAATGGCCCCTTTTTTGGGGGGGAAGCCGACTCAATAATCCGGAAGGAACAGACACCCAAAACCCTAAACCCTAAACCCTAAATCTCAGTTCAACTCGCGCCTCCTGCCGCGCCAGAAGACGAAGGGGGCCCTCCATCAGCAGCTCCGCATTCCCGTGGCACAGCGCCTCCAGATGACCACTCATCTGCTGCTTCAGGATCCTTGGAACTCTCTAACTCATCCTTGGAACTCTCTAACTCTATACAAGTACAAGTGGGCATTTCCCGAAACAGGGGGTATTTTTATACCCCCCAAATGGAAATAGAAGCCCCTAAAAAAGGACCCCCAGAAAGGGTACCCCTATTTTCGGAAACCCCCAAGTGGAGTGACGGATTGAGGAAAATCTGCAATCACTGACTGCCCCCCAAATCCTATAAAGCACCTCGCAAGTGCGCCAAGGCTCAGGGCTACGCACAAGCGGTGGTCGTATCTGACCGCATTCAGCGCGTGCAGCTGCCTCGGAGCCAGGGCAGAACATAGCCCCTCGAGACTGCTCGCATCGGATGCCGTGCCCGCAAAGACCACCAGTGAGAACTCTTGCGACCCAACCGATCTGCGACCGCGCTCTCCCGCAAAGCCTGCCTTCCAGCGACCTCCCGCGCATGTCAGCTCAACCACGCGACGATGAAAGTGCAGCTCGTCAGGCTGCGCTTCTTGAAGGGAGGCACGCTGCAGAGCTGGAAGGCCATTGGGCGTGCAGAAGTGATGCCACGTGGGCTCACGCTCCTCCGTGTTGGAGAGGCCAAGACCATCGGCGGCCATCACGTGCGGCTCCATCCATTCCGGCAGGCGCCGTGGGTCTTGCAGGGAGATGACTTGCGCCCCGACATCTGCCACCACCCGTTCGCCTTCCACATCTGCCCAAAAGCTCGTCATGCGACCTGCAGGCCCCCGACCCCACTCCCAGACGGAAATACGTGGCCGGGGCTTGCCACGCCGTGTGGCTTCTCTTGGGATCATGGCAGCAATCAAAGCACCAGTGCAACCTGCACCGACTATCAGCATGTGCGGCTGGCCCTCACTGCTACTCTCCGCGCACATCCTCAGAAGCGTGGGCCTGTGCTTCGGGACCACACAGGCTTCTTCCTCCTACGCAGTCTTGCGATGCCTCTGAGCTGCCAGGTGCGGGAGCTGTTGAGTTCAGGAACAATCCATGTGGCACATCACAAGCCCGAGACATGTAGGCTGAACAGTAGCTTCTTGTTAACGACGAGATTCTTTCCGGATATGGTAAGACAGCATTTTCCGCTCAAGAAAAAAACTGAAACCATGTCCGAGACCTTACTGTCACTTGCATCCAAGTGGTGATGCAACCTACCCGAGAGGTGCTTCGTTGCTCGCACAAGAAAACCCGACACTTTTCAGGCCAAAATTTGATGAAAGGCCTTGCACCTACCAAAACCCCAGATCCAAAAGGGAAAACAAACCGTAGAAGTCTACTCATCCTGACACCGTTTTCATTCTTTCAGGGGAGCTGCGCAGCCTTTCATAAGATTTCTCCCAAACTGTATCCTACACAACCAAACAGACAGCCCGGGCCCCGAACCCCACCCACCCCCACCCCCGCCCACAACTTTCTGCTGGTCCTTGGCACCAGCTCCCGACGACCAGGCGAGCGCCAGGGCCACGCCAAGGGTCGTCATGGCCGACCTGGCAAGGTTGCTCCAAAGGTCTGGGACTCAGGGCGGTGGCTAAGGTGCTTCGACGCTTGGGATTTGAAGTGTAAGGCAGTGTAAGGTTTGGGGGTCGGCGCATGGGGTTGTCGGGTTTTGGATTGGGGTTGACGGTGGTAGGCGGTGTGGGAGATGCAGCGTCAGGCAAGAACAACCAAACATGGCAGAGCAGCTAGGGTTTAGGGTTTAGGGTTTAGGGTTTAGGGTTTAGGGTTTAGGGTTTAGGGTTTAGGGTTTAGGGTTTAGGGTTGAGGGTTTAGGGTTTAAGGTTTAGGGTTTAGGGTTCAGGGTTCAGGGTTTAGGGTTTAGGGTTTAGGGTTTAGGGTTGAGGGTTTAGGGTTTAAGGTTTAGGGTTCAGGGTTCAGGGTTCAGGGTTTAGGGTTTAGGGTTTAGGGTTTAGGGTGTACACGAAATTTCATCTCCCTTTCACATCCCCTGCTCCGTCGCACCGAGTTTTGGGAGCTTTGCAAGTAAGAAGTGTCACGGTGCAGTTGCAGGTGAACCGAACAGAGACGAGCTGTTTGTCGCCTTGCTTCCCAACATCCACACTGCGGCGAACCTGTGCAATCGGCCCCTAGAAACAAACAGAGAACAAAACCTTGAACCCCGGACCCTCAACATTAGACACCCGAAAAGATAAACCCAAGCAAGAGAGCACCTGGACTTCCAAGGGCCTTGGATTGGTTGATCGCTTTGCTTTTGGGGTCGTTGCTCCGCCCCACACGATGCCAAAGTTGCGGGCTGAGGGTTTAGGGTCTTAGTGGGGGGGCTGCTTAAACCTGGACCTTGAGGCAGGAGAAAGCCGTTGTTACCCTTAAACCGCTGGTCTGGAACAAAAAGTCGCCACTCCAACCCTGAACCCTCAACCCTAAATGAGCCCTAAACGGCCTTTAATTCTTAAACCACGATCACTCAAACCCTGAACCCTAAACCCCAAACCCTAAACCCTAAACCCTAAACCCTAAACCCTGAACCCTGAACCCTAAACCCTGAACCCGAAATGAACCCTAGACGGCCTCAAAATCCTAAGCCATGATAGCCAGCTCCGCCTGCTTGGAGTCTCTTCGGCCGCAGCGCCGGCGCGCCGTCATCACCGCAGGGGGGCAGAAGGCGCGGGGCTTTTGAGGTTAAGACCTTTGGGTTGATGGTTGGGGTTTAGGGGTGTAGGGTGTAGGGTGTAGGGGTCTAGGGTTTAGGGGTTTGGGAGTTTAGGGTTGAGGGTTGAGGGTTTGGGAATTTTGGGTTCAAGGCTTCAGCGATGCGAAGTTCAAGATGCTCAGATATGCTCCGGAAGATAAGAAGCTGGGGTGGGGCGTGCGCATGGCGATGGGGTGACGGATTTGTGCTGCGGAGTCTGTTGCTGGGGTGAGAATGGGCCGCTTCATGTGCCGGCACTTGTTGACTGCGTCACGTTACCTGCTGCCCTCCTCAAAAAGCCTTCACACAGCTGAGCGTAGGCATGTCGGCATCAACAATGAACAAAACATCAACCCTAAACCCTAAACCCTAAACCCTAAACCCTAAACCCTAAACCCTAAACCCTAAACCCTAAACCCTTGAACAAACAAATCCTGGCTTTGGCTGTCGACACATCAGTTGGGGAGCGACGCGCATGTGCTGGGAAAGTATGGCACATGTTGTCGGGCTCCACTCCTCCAAGCGGCGAGATGGGCTCAGACAATATGATGAAAAGGGTTTAGGGTTTAGGGTTTAGGGGTTAGGGTTTAGGGTTTAGGGTTTCTTTCCTCGGATTCTCATGGGTCGCACAAGAATCTGAATCAAGCTCGCTGTGCATTGCACCGTCCAACGCGGGCTGCATGCTGGCCCTTAACTTTTGGAACTCCGTTATTGTGCAGGCATACCATATGCGCCTATGATGGTCAGACGTCTGGCGTCGTGCCCGGCGGGGGGCACGAAAGGGTCTTAAGGCCCTTGGACCAGGTTCGAAGTTAGGGTTGAGCGCTGAAGGACCCAAAGCCCTCAACCCTAAGCACAAACCGTACGTACAAACAAAAACCTTAAAACCGCAAGGACTAAAATGGCAGTGAAGCCATAACTCTAGCCCCTACAACCGCGCCACAGCACACCACAGGGATGGGTTTTTCCGGAAACCATGCCAGGAACCTGATGCACTGCGAGGCAGCTTGCTGAAAGGCTGCCTGCAGTGGAACAGGAGACAAAGAAGACTGGAGGCGGAGGACCACAAAGTGACCTTCGAGAATAGCCGAGGGGGTGTTAAAAGGAAACTCATCAAACCACAATGATGCTGCACACTTGCTGCCCAGGGCTGTCATCCGAGCATGCAGCAATCCATATGTTTTTGGACATGTAAGCGTGGTGCCGAAACATCTGCAGGGAGCAAGATGGCTGAAGCTTGTGATACACCTTTAGATTTAGGCACCATGAAAGACAAGGCAGGTTGGACTTTTGGCTTGGAGACTCCGTCCAACGACGGAAGCTCAACCCGTGATGGCCCGTGAATGCCAACAGCAAATTAAACTTGTAATATTCGATTCCCTTACAAAAGCAAAACATCCTGGCTATCGACGACAACCCAATCAAACCAAAGCTGGAAGACTGGCAAAATGCTGTAAGACTTCGGAATCCTGCATATGTAGAAGTGTAGGATTGAAGGTTTTGGGGGGGCCAAAAGAAACAAAGAAGACACTTCTTTTCAGGAGCCTAAGGCGTCTCCCAGGAAATGACATGGGCTGTTGAACCTGGAAATACACACAATCTCATACAATTATCCGCAAGTCAAAAACACAGCATTCAAATCAGCACTGATTTGTTTTGGTGGCAAGCTTCTTTCCACGTCAGCAGACAGTGAGCGTTCGTTGGCATGTCGGTATGAGAAGAAGAAATTAGCAAAACGGCGTGAATGGGCTCCGCACAAAACAACAACAAAGGAAACAACAACGCACAACCCCAAACGCAGAGCCCGTTTACACGGCGGCCTGGGCTACTTTAACGCAGCATTCAAATCAGCATTGAAACACGTGTGCGAGACGCGTGCTGAGTGGGACAGAACATCAAGAATCTTGCCTTTCCTGTTCCATGGCATGGGTGGCGTGTCTGCCAAGTGGGCTTGGATGACCGTTCCACCAAAGTGCACATTGCCAGTTCCAGCACATGGTATTTCGACTCACGTGCCCCTCGAGCATCGAGAATGCTACACAATCCGCAGAGGATCCTGATTGGTGGTGCACGACTCATGACAAGAAAGCTAGCAGCATTGGCGGTTTCGAAGACTTCCTGACGATCGCCACATGGCACCGGGGAAACGCCAGAGCATTCTGGCCTGGGAGCTTCCGAATTTTCTCAAGCCTCCTTCGAGAATAATTTCTCAAGGCCCCCTTCAAGCCCCTTCTAAGGCCCCTTTTTTTTTGCCGGCGCCTCTTTACTACATCAGTAGCACAGTAGGTCGAGCTTGTGGGACATTCCACTCAGAGTGAGACAGACATCTACCGCAAGCGCAGAGGCCTTATTGGGGAAGGGGGGAGGGGAAGGGGGGAGGGGAAGGGGGAGGAAGGGGGAGGGGAGGGGGGAGGGGGGGAAGGAGGGGGGAAGGGAGGGGGGGGGAAGGGGAAGGAAAGGGAAGACAGAAGAACTGAATGCAAACGCTCTTTTTTAGGATCCTGCCAGCAGTCGAAAGTTCTGGTCGGAGGACACTGCACGGCCTTGAAGGGCACGACAGGCACGGTGGAGGACTGTCAGCTGCGGTAGCAGGGGCCCAGTCCTCCAGTGCACACAAGAGCTGGTCTAGCGAGGCCGAACCCACCAAGCCAAGGTGGCGGAGGACACGCCGCAGGGGAAGACGGACAAGACCTGCAGAATCAGCGCCTGCCCCAGGCAAGCAGGCTTGCGCAACCTGCTGGAAGGGGAGGCTGTTGGCCAGGTACGCCGGGTGCGCACCATCTGCGTCTGGCAAGAGGGGCACACAATGCCCGTGGCCTTACGGCACCATGGGCAAGGCTTGGGCAGGGCAGGGGCAGGGGGCAGAATAAACAACACAGACCCACTAGAAGGACTTGTGGCACAGGAGCAACGGTGTGACGGAACCCCAAGGTGGGAGCGCTGGACCCCAGCTGGGCTGGCCGGTAGGAGAGCCCAACGTAGCTCACGGGCGAAGGGCAAGGCCTCATCGGAGGAGAGCCACACAGTGACGGGTTCGGGGGGCTGCACAGACGGGGAGGGAGCAGCATCAGGCACAGTTGGAGGCGGGGGGAGTGAGGCCAAGGCCAGCCGGGTCCACACCTACACGCTGCAAGTATTCAGCCCGGATGAACCGGAGTCCCAGGGCTAAACGCTGGCTAAGCAATATGGCCGGTAAAACCCGCTTGCGGTGGGCGGACAAGCGGGCTCTGA